GTAGGGCGAGAGAGCACGGCCTTGATGCCGGCGACATCGCGTGTGTGCGAGAGGTACCATTTGCCATCGAAGTCAAGGTAAGGCGCGTAGCGGAACAGGCCTTCTTCGGCCTCGGCCGTGGTGGGGTCACGGTCGACAGGGCGGCGGGGATCAAGGACGGGTCGAGGAATGCCAACGATGGAGTTGGAGGAGGGGAGAGTGCAAAGAAGCTGGCGGGTGGTAATTCCCTGGCGCGTTTGAGTGACGGCCATGTGGGAGATGGGTTCGGGGATCATGAAGGCCTGGGAGATGACGTGGGGCAACGGGAGGGTGGCGGTGCTGGAGTAGTTGGTGGTAGAGTCAAGCACACCGCGGTCGTTGGGGAAGGGAGATTCGTAGAGCTCCGAGATGACTAGTTGGTAGCCCTTGGCAGAGGACTCACGGCCGTCAACGTCGCCCCAGAACGAGTAGGCGAACCAGTTCTCGGACATCACGGATGCGATGGGCTGCTTGGAGTCCACGCCGGCTTGGGTAACTGCGTGAAGGACCTTTCCTGAGACTCCATCCAGAAGGTAGAAACTGGCGGTGTGGGCCTGCTCGTTCACTGCAGTCACCAGGGCGAGGTTGGGGTTGAGGTACTTGTAAAGGACCGAGCGGTTTCCAAGGACTCTGCCGATAGATGCAACAGGATCATGGGCAGGGCGAGCGGTCGCTTCGACGACCTTCTGTCCGGAGGGAGGAACAAACTCCCACACAGGGGTCTTGTTATCCTTTGCAACCCAGCCGAGGACTCGACCATCAACGCTGGTGGTTACCAAGAAGCCATCTTCGTTGGCAAATGTAGTGATTGGGGTACCATCTTCACGGACACCGACGGTGGCCAGCGAACTTCCATCCTGCGCCCCGAAGACAGCAATCGAGTGGAGTTTGTTGCCAGATGACTCGACACGTGAAACGATCTCTCCAGTCGACACATCCACAGTCACAGAGCTTCCATCGTCGGAGTAGATAGTCGCAACTCCTGGTGAGGCCAAAATCGCCTTCACATTCCACTCCGATGTCTCCACTGCCTGGATACCCCACGAAACGGCACCGTGGTTTCCAGTATCCAAGGCGTACACACGGCCGTTTTTGGTGGCGACAATAACTGATTTGGCAACACCAAAGCTATCCAGGTTAGACACCTCGTCAGTCAAGATGCTGCTCAAAATGCGCTTAGGAAGATCCTTCAGCCAGTCTGGCAGATGTTCCAAGTCCCGAGCATGACGCTTCACCCTGTGTAGGTACGCGCCGTACAAAGTCTCGTGGCCCTCGACCTCCAGTTCATGAGCTAGATCCTCTTGGGCATCAGTTTCTGCCCAGGTAGCTGCGACAGCATCAATAAGACCCTCGTGCCGAGTCCACTCAATCTGGCCATTACGGATAAGTTGCCAATCTCCGTGCTTCCGGAAAAGCGCTGACCTAACAGCCACAGATTTTCCTTTAGCAACAACCTCGGATACTGAGTGAAGGGCAATGTCAGAAGAAGGCTTTTGCAGATCCCATCGTCCCAGAATTCCATGAGAGGCGGATGATACAACAGTGGCTTCCTGGTCCGTGATTCGAGTGAAGAAGACATTAGCGTCAATGACACTGGCCGCGACCGCCGACTGGCCGGGTAGATAGGGCAACCGGTAAGCCTTGGTAACCTTAGCAGACATCAAGTCCACATGGTAGACCTCAGCCCAAGCCCCGGCCTTAGTTTCAAAGTGGACCAAGAAATGGGGCAGAGCGTTAAGCTTGTGGGGAGCGTGGACTGTGATCTGTCGAATTTCGGCGCCAGGGGTATTGTCAACGGCAATAGAGGTGATCTCCTTGGTACCAATAACATTGACCTTCAGGAACTTTTGCGATTTGTCGGCCCAGACGATGATAGGCGAGGCGGAATTGGCGCCCACATAGAGGACGGACTCCGGGGTAGTCACATCAGCCTCAGAGTTCAGAATCTGTTGACGAATCTGTTGTCCAGTCACTGGGTCCAGAACAGTGACCTTGATCTTAAAGCCCTTCAATATAGCCGACTGGAGTGAAATATAGAAGACCTCGGTGGAAGAAGACGACACTTGGAACGGAACGTCACCGCTAGAAGAACAACTCATTAGCTTGCGACTTGTCAAAAGAAAAAAAAAAGGTCAAAGACAAAACCAACCTTGCATCCTTGAATTCCCACACTGGCTTTCCAGTGTTTCCATTGAGACGTCTCACAATTCCGGTGCCCTCGCTAGCAACCACGGCAATCGTATCTCTCACCCCGGAGGTCGCGGTAGCATCCTCAAGCTCCAACAGCTCGAGATCGGCAACCACACCTTCTGAAACCCGATTTTCCCATCCCACCTTGCCATCCTGGGCACTCCAAGACGCGATGTAGTTACCTACCGCAGCTACGACGGCATCGTTTCCATCTAATCCGCGCAAGAGACCCGCCCCATGTGCGGGAGAGTCCGCCGACCGCGAGATGTTCTGGCGCCATACCAGCGCACCGTCGCGGGGATTCACGGCACCTACAAGGAGCTTGTCGGACAGGGTATAGAGGAGTGAAGCATTCGAAGATGTGGATGGCTTGAGGAAGAAGGTGGAATCGGGTGATGGGGTGCCGAGGAGAGCATGGTGGAAGTCGATGTGGTTGACCTCGTCAGAGTAGATGGCTGCCGCGGGCGATAGGCACGCGGCGAAAAAGAGCGCCGCCTGGAGCCGCATTTTGACGAATGGCTCTTATTGAAGCATTGAAGAGGGGAGGTGGGAGGTGATGTAGAATGGATGTTGTCAATAAACTTGGCGGAGCCCGGGCGGTAACCCCCCAGATCCCAGATCCTCCCCATAACTTCCTTCTGTCTACATCCATCGACGTCCAACCTCCCACTCACAGCCCAAGTTGACCATCACGTTATTATTGCTTCCTACGCAGTTTTTCCTCGGTAATATATATATCTAACCTCGCATATGCCACTGGCATACATCTGCCTTGGGCTGATAAGCACCAATACTAGACATTTAAGAATGATATTTGAAAAGATACTTGAACAGGCACTTGAACAGGCACCTGAGCACACATGTATAAAGGGATATTGAATACAACGTTCCCTATAGGCAGGTTTAGTCTAAAAATAATCCATATTCAGAGTATTCGCCTCAGGTTCTTTGCTTGTAGGTTTCTTCCTAAAGTAATTGTATTCGTGCAATGCGTTGATACCACCTATATATCGCCCCCTAATTAGCTAAAGACACACCAGGACGACAAAGCTCTAAAAGTGCTTATGGCTTAAGGGAAGGATGAAAGACACGAGGTTGCAAAGGGCGACCACATCAGCCAGTTTCTATTAACACCGAAGTTTTAATTAGCAGGATTTGAAGCTAGCTAGGAATGGGAGGCTTCAGTTCCTATTGTTAGTCCTATGAGTTTGTAATTCTGTAGGCATTACTATTAGAATGACATTCGCAAGAACCGGAGTAGGCTGGCAATTAGTGCGACTTACATCAAATTTCACCGAAAGGCCTAGTATCTCATTGTCTGTTGAAATTCGCACAGGCCCGCAGAAATCCTCCATTCCATCAACGGGCTTACCAATCCAATCGTTCATCGGATTGAAAATCGGAAGTATTGCTCGCACACCTCCGTCTCTAATCATCACCTCGAATACCCTAAGCGGCCTTGCTTGAAGATTAATCACTATTTGATTTCCCGGAAGGCGATAGCCAAGGACAGTATTCGCCATATCACTACGATAATTAAGTTCCAAGACAGTGACAAAAGTGTGTGGTGAGTCTGGATCTGAGCGTGGGTCTGAAAGAACAGAGATAGCGAGTCCCACAGCAGCCCTGGAGAAGGGAACCGATTGAATCCATATTTCATGCTTGGTAAAACAACTTGAGCAGAATGTGCGGTTGGCTCCATTCAGCAACCCCGGAGTTCGTCTGTAGCAACTCATCTTCCCAGTAGCCTTTTGCCATTGTAAAGACTTTGTATGTCAACTTGAGCGGGCAATAGAGGATTCTGTTCTCTGGTAATTATACAAACATCTCTTAGCCATCGGCTATGCCGCCAATGCTGTCTTCTGAGGCGGACCTCAGGGTGTAGTTTAGCAGAGTTGTGAGTACAACGGTAAACCAGTCGCCACTTTTGAACTGTTTCGAGAGAAGCACCCAACAACACTTATGAATCAAAAACCCATTTGGCGCATTTTGTGGGGAGGTCCTCTCTAATAATTTGGCAACCTCGTCCCATCTTTCCTCATATTCGTGGCCTTTGTGCGCCCAGAAATGTCCGTCAGCTGAACGCCGTACCTTGCATTTAAATGAACTAAGCAGTAATTTAGCGAGTACTTCCAACCAACAGCAAATTCATAGAATAAGGACTGACGCACTTAAAAAAGCAAGAGGTTGGTGAGATATCCACTCCACATGATACACAAGGGCGATAGAATATCTTAAGAATGATTGGGGTCTTCTGGTATAGGCCATTATAGGCTATCTTGGGTGTATTGTGATCTGACTTTTCGATAATAGTCAATGTTGTTTTGCAGAAATTATGGCAAGATTTTAATCCAAATCCTAGCAATTCTTCTTCTTCTCGTTCTGCAGATTGACTTCGACAGCCTTACCTCCTTCCTCCAAAGTAGAATCCATTCCATGGCCTTCAAGCACGACCACAATGTCCGAGTTAGCTGTATCGACATTAATGTCAATCTGTATTAAATCAATTAGCAGTAATACATACTATGAAAAAGAAATCCCCAACGATAGTCTAGCGCTAGTAATAGATCAAAGGCCTCTTGCAAAAACGCAAGCTTTCTTTTACCGCCATCATATACATCTAAAAAGACATGACAAGGCCGCAGAAACAGCCGACTACGCTTGTACTCTCGATCCATAAAACGTATAGAAAAATTGTGTATTGTGCCTCAGTATGTACTAGTTTCCAAGCAACACATCCCAGGAAAATCCCCCATTACACTAGTTGCTTTATTTGACAGCGAAGAACGAGTTTAGTAGTTGTCCTTGTTCAGGTAATCTAAAGTGATACCTAGGTTAGCATATGATTCTCAAAGCCTTTCAACACAACTCAGAATCACAAACCTTGAGCCTTGTCCAGGATCTTGCTACCAAGGCTACCGCTGGAGGAGTCATTGTTGCTGCTGCCGTAGCTATCCTGGTTGCGACCAGAGCTAGACTTGTTTCCGCTGCCGTAGCTGGAGGAATCGTTGTCGTTGCCGTAGCTGGAGGAGTTGTTGTCGTTACCGTAGCTGGAGGAGTTGTTGTTGCTGCCGTAGCTATCCTGGTTGCGACCAGAGCTGGACTTGTTTCCGCTGCCGTAGCTGGAGGAATCGTTGTCGTTACCGTAGCTGGAGGAGTTGTTGTTGCTACCATAGCTGTCCTTCTTGGAGCTAGAGTTGCCACCGTAGCTGGAAGAGTCGTTGTCGTTGCCGTAGCTGGAGGAGTTGTTGTTGCTACCGTAGCTGTCCTTCTTGGAGCCAGAGTTGCCACCGTAGCTAGAAGAGTCGTTGTCGTTGCCGTAGCTGGAAGAGTTGTTGTTGCTACCGTAGCTGTCCTTCTTGGAGCCAGAGTTGCCACCGTAGCTAGAAGAGTCGTTGTCGTTGCCGTAGCTGGAAGAGTTGTTGTTGCTACCGTAGCTGTCCTTCTTGGAGCTAGAGTTGCCACCGTAGCTGGAAGAGTCGTTGTCGTTACCGTAGCTGGAAGAGTTGTTGTTGCTGCTGCCGTAGCTGTCCTGGTCGCGACCAGAGCTGGACTTGTTGCCACCGTAGCTGGAAGAGTCGTTGTTGCTACCGTAGCTGTCCTTCTTAGAGCTGGAGTTGTTACCGTAGCTGGAAGAGTCGTTGTCATTGCCGTAGCTGGAGGAGTTGTTGTTGCTACCGTAGCTGTCCTTCTTGGAGCTAGAGTTGCCACCGTAGCTGGAAGAGTCGTTGTCGTTACCGTAGCTGGAAGAGTTGTTGTTGCTGCCGTAGCTATCCTGGTCGCGACCAGAGCTGGACTTGTTTCCGCTGCCATAGCTGGAAGAGTCGTTGTTGCCGCCGTAGCTGGAGGAGTCGTTGTTGCTGCCGTAGCTATCCTGGTCACGACCAGAGCTAGACCTGTTGCCGCCGTAGCTGGAGGAATCGTTGTTGTTGCCGTAGCTAGAGGAGTCATTGCCACCGTAGCCGGAGCTCTGGTTGCCACTGCCGTAGCTGTCGGAATCGTTGCGGTAAGACATTTTAGAGGAGTTGTTTAAGGGGAATTTAGTTTATGTTTGGATTGAGAAGATGAATTGATCTCGGAAGCAAGAGGATACAATGATGATTTATAGGGGTACGATGTTTACCCCAACAGAAGGCAGCACTTTATTTATCTCCCACCAGGAACGTATGGAATCCAAGAGAATCACCCCTCTCCCCTCCATAAACCCCTCAATGACAACATGTGGACAACCGAGACGAGCAGGGGCCAATGGTCGTGGCACGGAGAGGCTAGCATCTCTAGAGCTCACTAGTTTCGTGCTTGTTTGCGAGTGATTGCTCGAACCTTGGGAGCCACTTTTCAGCTTGTGTCGCCTAATGCGGAATTAACCCCATAGTTGACCCATATTTGACTCTGATGTTGTGATATCATCCAATCTACGAACAGGGGATCACGCCATGGAGAAAGCCATGCAGGACTCTGATTTGCCGGTCGAATTATGTAGTCCCTTCTCGGAGCCGGACTTAGCCGGGGCCCTGGAAGAAGATAGGCTTCATTACCCCTCATTACTTGGCTAGAGCATTGTGTACGTACTTATGTACGTGTGTGCTTGTGTGCTTTTATGCAGCCAGGGTCTAGACTCTTCAACATGAGAGCAGTTCAGAAGACCCAGGTGGGATGTTTATCTTCTGAAGGGACACGTGCAAGTACCTAGCTATCTAAGCGGAGGGGCCCTTATTTTCCTTTATTTTCCCTTTTTTTGGGGCGATAATCCACTGCGGTGGGCCAATCATAACTGAAGATCTGACCTTTTCCGGACCCACTTAGGCAAGATCTATCGAGATCCGCGCTATTGATTTCTACCATAGGTGTGGTAACGTGATGCATTTATCTCCGAGATCCGCCCGTGTCTTTGGTTGATGTTGACAAGGTCCATGGTACAAATGGCGATCCCTTCTTATTCAAGGAATTTGTACGGAGTACGTGGGCAGAAACCCTTCCAAGGTACTCCGTGCTCCGTACCTACCCCTCTTATAGCTTGTCCGATAGCCTCGGGCGCATTGACCGTGGCGAATCTACTCTGGTCCTCGATCCCATGATTTTATGGGTTCGGTGATGAGATGAACTATGCAGTACACAGGAGTCATATCAATCGGTGTATATTATGTAGACAAGTTTGATTATGACCTGCCTATCCTATATGCGCAGATTCTGTCTGGGTATTCATGCACTCATTCCCCGCCCCCCAAATATGATTATCCCTCCCATCCAATGATTCGTCTAGTTGGAGATCTTGTCGCTGACCTGCTTGCTGTATTGAGAATCAAATATTAGCAGATATTCAAGCCCAAGAAATTTGCAATGTCACTTACCCAGTGGCCTTCTCGTAGGCCTCGCGGGCACCATCGGTGATCTTCTCCTGTGTGCTGCGGTCGAGGTTGTAGCCAGTCTTCTTGACACCGGCGGCGAAGGCTGTGATAAAGGCTTGTCAGTCAAAAATTCATGCGACGCAAAGAACGATGTCACTCACCCTTGTCAACGTAGTCGTCGTTCTGCTGGGTGTTGTTCTCGGCAGGCTTGTCCTCCTTGTTGCCGCCAGCGCTGGAAACAGCCTTCTTGATGAAATCCATGATGATGAGTGTATAAGGTACTTGCGAACTTAACAGAAATATCGTGGGTAGAGAGGGGGAAGAAGAAGAAAAAGACTTCTGTCGGGGAGTCCGTCCAAGTAGGCAAAAGCTGCCCCTCTTCTGCCAAGGTTGCCTTTTTAGTGGCGACTCGCTGCGGCACTAGTGAATTGCCATTTGCTGGGTCGGATTCGAGGATAAGAAACCTTAATATATGCCGTGATTTCCAAATATTGTTATGCTAAAAGTAATAATCGAGACTTGTTTTCATACAGGTTGTTATGATACAGCTTTGAAAGAACTTTTCAAATAGAAACTCCGTAAAAATGCCATCCAAACCAAACAAATCTTAAACACCGAAACAGGCCTTATTGGCAGACCGGACAGCTTCCTTCTCACCCTCACTCATGGCATCCGTGATCTCCCAAGGAGTGTTACCTAGACCCATAGCACGCTGACCCTCTGGGCTCAGCGTGGACCAATCCATAGCACCCTTGAATCCCGACTCACCGGGTCCACCAGCACCGGGGAAATCCCACGGAGGCGAATAGCTCTGCGCAGCCTGGCGCTGCTTGATAAGGTATTCAACATTCATATCGCAGAGTGGGGTAGCTGGAATGTACAGAACACTGGAGTCCTGGGTACCACGGTGCTCCTTATCCACAGAGTGAAGAGAATCGCAGTGCCATGCGACAAAATCACCAGGCGCAACCTGAGGTACTGAAACCATAGTCGACTGGAGGTCGAGATGTGGGTGCGTGACTGGGTTGTACTCCTGGCAAGCTCCAGGCACGGAGCCCGGGAATGTAGCATCCAGGGCTGGTTTTGAGCTCTCGGTGTCGAAGAAAGGGCGCAGAATGGTGTATGCTGTGCTGTGATTGATCATGGGGCAGACGTGCAGCGAGCCCTCGCCGGGCTTGGTATCCGACATAGATAGCCAGGCCTGGAAGAACCGCAGCATTGAGCATGCACCGGCACCATTGTATAGGTCCATGTTGGCCTTGAGACGGTGTCTCGCATCCCATGCGTCATACTTCTCCCAGTTCCCTTCTAGAATCTTGGTGTAGACTCGAGAGTACTCGGGGTCTTCCCAGCGCTCGAGGGACCCGCCATCAATGTGCGGACCGAGAGTGAATTTTGAGTCCCCTGGATCGCGGATACGAAGACGGTCTCCATATGTCAGCGGGTGGGTGGTTGAGAGCTTGCTTTTAGGGTCAGATGAATGCCAAAGCTGCTGCATGAAGCGCTGGGTCTTGAGCATGTTTTCGTGGCCGCGGGCTTCGGCCTGCGATGGAGTCCAGTACAGCTCGTACACGGCTGGGGAGTCAGCTGGGAAGGCCTTGACTCGCTCCTTGTTGGCAGCCACATAGTCGCGGATACGTTGCTTATACTCTAGGGCTTGGTCCCGAGGGATTACATTGCGAACGACCACGCTGCCTCGGTGGCGGATCTCTTTTAATGCCGCTTCGGACACCTTTCCAGAGATCACATCAGAGTATTCAATTGATGGGATGATCTAGTATTTTTAGGTCAGTCTCTTGTTCAGTAATTCGGGTCACATAGGCACATACATCGCTGCCTTTTGCCTTGATCTTTTGCACTTCCTCATCCAAGCTAGGAAGCAATCGCTCCCAACTTTTTGTGATTGCATCTTTGTTCTTCTCAAAGATCTTCGCCTTGAGCTCCTGAAACCGTGCGGGGAGAGGTTCCGGCTTATAGTCGGGCCTCAAGCTGGGGAAAACCGATGAGATATCACCGGCGGCCTTGGTGGTCTGGGCCGAGGTGGATGCTGCTCGGGCAGCAGACTTTGAAATAAACTTTGACATCGACATGGCTGAAATGAATTCACAAATGTGTATTCTAACTTTGCGGGGATCTTCACCGGTGCTTTATATGTGTTTCGTGGGGAACACAGCATGCCTTAGTTGAGGCGGAATTATCCCATAAACAGTAGTCGAGCCGCTGTCGGAAAGAGTAAAGTGCCAAGAAATTACCTAATTGGGATATCTACCCGACTCCCGCTGTTCGCCATGACATCAGTCAGTCCGCAAAGAATCATTCATGAGGCTAAAGATGGCAATGGTGGAGATATTTTTTCTCGAAGATTTAGCCGTTCGAGAACATCATTCGGGAATACGGCAAGCCGGCATTTGTCGAGAAGGTTTACGGGATAGAAGATCTGCATTGTGACGAAGCCCAAGTACTACCGGTATAGGTACATACAGACATGTACGAATTGAAATATTCCCGGCCATACCACGACCCCAGCTACAGCATTGAAGTGAAGCTGCACGGTGTTACTGAAGCATGTGATCAGTCAAATCCTATACGCGCTGCTGTTCACTGTTCGGACAGAGCAGGTCTACCGAACGTCTAGATATCTCGTAGATCGTTCCTATGCTTGACAAGCAGTCTTTCAAGCAATCGTTTGAGAGCAATCTACCTAGTTTCCACATTTTTTCGAGTTAATACACCAAAAGAAGGCGTGCCGAGCCCTACTGTGCCCACTTGCTGATACGGAACCACGGCATATACCTAGATAGGTAGCGTACATATAGTTTTACATCGAACAAGGAACATAAGTACATCCATAAATAGAGCAACACAATGCAAACAAGAGGGGAACTGATGTCAGACGACCTCATATCCAAGAAAAACGGGGAAATAGACTACCATTGGGCGCCCACGATGTACAGGAACATCGGCCATCACGCCGGCCTCGGTCCACTTTCTCTCGCCTCGACGGTTAAAGTGCATTCTACCCCGCGAGACCTAAAAGCGGGCACGGAATGCGCTGCAAAAGACCCCGAGCAGGTTCCACGGGGTTCAATTCCTACATAAAAGAGGGCAGAATCCCCTACTGGAAGCCGTAACCCATTAAACGTTAATGCTCTAAACATGTCTCTCTCAGTGAAAGGAAGATCTGCCATTATAACTGGAGCTGGCTCCGGTATGTCTTCTGTATATTACAGTGTCAGACAGACAGCTTACATTGTAGCCAGGTATCAACTTCAGTTTCGCCAAATTGCTAGTGGAAAACGGCTGCAATGTCCTAATCGCAGACCTAGCCTTACGTCCCGAGGCGCAAGCGCTAGCCGATAAGCACAAGACCGGGGCCGCACGAGTGGTCTTCCAAGAGACTAACGTGATTGACTGGGTCCAGCTCGAGCGGATGTTCGAGGTTGCGGAGAAAGAGTTCGGCGAGATTGATATTGTTTGCCCGGGCGCGGGTGTCTACGAACCGGTAAGATAAAAACAACCCCAACAAATCTACAAGTCTAGGAATATAACTGTGATGCATATAGCATTGGAGCAACTTCTGGCGCCCGCCTCACTCAGCCGAAAGTAAGGACCCGGCTTCTGGCGGCCGATACGCTTTGATCGATATCAACATCACCCACCCGATCCGCACGACACAACTCGCAATTGCTCATTTCCTGAACAACCGTACCAGCGGTCGCCCGAAGCATATAGTCCATATTTCCAGCATTGCAGGCCAGAATACGACCCTCGCAGCTCCGATTTACTGCGCCACGAAACACGCCATTAACGGCTTCGTGCGGTCGCTCGCCAACCTCGACAAGAAGCTTGGGATCCGAGTCACGGCCGTGGCTCCGGGTGTTATCAAGACCCCGCTCTGGACTGAGCACCCAGAGAAAATGAAGATGGTTGCTGATAGTACTGATGAGTGGGTGACACCCGAAGAAGTGGCAGAGGTAATGTTGGCCCTTGTGCAACAGGAACAGGTGGGCGAGATTATCGGGGACCGGTCGGGTCGTGAGCCGCAGTTTAAAGTGGAGGGAGGTACGATTCTGGAGGTGTCAAAGACAGTGCGAGCTGTCGGTCAGTTCAATGATCCAGGTCCTGGTGCTCGGCCTGGAGCCACGGCATCGGATTATCATATGGTTGAGGAAGAGAGTTATGAACTCCTGTCGCAGAAAGGATGGGGATTGTCGAAGCCATAATTAGTTATCACTTTTTCTGTATGATTGGATATACAATCCAGACAATATTTCAAATAGTTCGAGGCGCATTAAATGGAGTGTAGAAATGTAGTAATCTATAGGAATGCAAAGTGGTCTCAGTTTTATGTAAAAAAGGGTTGGCCCCCCGAGGATGTGTCATCCCGATAAGTCTTGGGAGGCTAGGAAGCTTTCAACTGGCCACAGATCTTTCCCTCCTTTATTCCTCTACCTTTTTCCAATTTCCAGGGCTTTTCTCTTTTAAAACTACTCTATCTCTCTCTTTTGGTCATTTGATCTCGGCCCCGCTGGTAGCGGCCGTTAATTATGTTTTGCGCGCCTATCTTTGCCCGATAACACCATTTCCGCAACAGATAACAAATATCAAGATGGAGGAGGCCGCGCTCGGAGTTGGTTCATCTGGGGGACACCAGAATGCGATGCGGAGGTAGGCTAAAACACAAAGTCTTGATGTCAACAAGGGCTAATTTGGACTCCATTAGGCGTGCAGCCCGCGGAAGACCTGGAGATGTGGTGGGTGAGGCCAGTTGGGCCAGCAGTGTGATCAACCTGGTCAATACCAGTAAGTGCAAGGAATCGCACAATACATAGGGAGTTTCCGGATTTTGATACAATATCTCGCTATAGTCATCGGTGCCGGTGTTCTTGCGATGCCGCTAGCCATCTCCCGTATGGGAATCGTCCTCGGTGTCTGCGTGATTCTGTGGTCTGCAGCCACTGCAGGATTCGGCCTCTATCTCCAATCGCTATGCGCACAATATCTGGACCGTGGAAGTGCGTCATTCTTTGCGTTATCGCAGTTGACATACCCTAATGCGGCCGTGGTCTTCGATTGTGCGATTGCGATCAAATGTTTCGGAGTCGGCGTGAGCTATCTCATTATTATAGGAGATCTCATGCCGGGGGTGGTACAGGGCTTCGTCGGCAGCGAGGCAGGATACGATTTCCTGGTGGACCGCCACTTTTGGGTTACAGCCTTTATGTACGTCGCCTTGTGCATTGTGCCAAATCTAGGGGAAGTGCTGACCATTTGACTTTAGGTTGATCGTGATTCCTATTTCCTACCTGCGCCGTTTAGATTCTTTGAAATATACCAGTATTGCGGCCTTGATGTCCATGGCCTATTTGGTTGTCTTGGTTGTGTATAAGTTTGTCCAAGGAGACACAATGGAGGACCGAGGCCCGATTCGTGTGGGCCATTGGGAGGGCGCAGTTCCAACTCTCAGCAGTCTGCCAGTTATTGTCTTTGCATTTACTTGCCATCAAAACGTACGTTTCCAACTCGTGACATTGTGACCCGTGTGTTCTTTTCTAACAACCATTCCAGATGTTCTCCATCCTCAACGAAATCGGCAACAACAGCCATTTCCGTACAACGGCCGTTGTTTTCGCGAGCGCCGGTAGTGCAGCTGCAACCTATATCCTCGTTGCCATCACCGGATACTTGTCCTTTGGCAACAGCGTAGGCGGCAATATCGTCGGCATGTACCCACCCGGCGTGTACGCAACGATCGGCCGCGCCGCAATCGTCATGCTAGTAGTCTTCTCTTATCCACTACAATGCCACCCATGCCGAGCCTCAGTCGATGCTGTCCTTAAATGGCGCCCCAGTCCACAAGTCGGTGGCGCAGAGCGCTCTCCAAACCGACACCCACTGCTAGGCCCGCGGGGAAACCGCATGCCAGAGCCAATGAGCGATCTTCGCTTCTCTATTATCACAACCACAATCTTGGTACTGAGCTACCTAGTCGCCATGACTGTATCCTCCCTTGAATCCGTGCTGGCATATGTCGGGAGCACTGGTAGCACAAGCATCAGCTTCATTCTCCCGGGCTTGTTCTACTACAAGATCTCTTCGCCCGACTCGCCCACCCACCGGGGCTTAATGAAAGAGGACGATGAGGCGGAGGACTACCTCTCGGAAGATGACGAGGACGATGAGGGCGAGGGTTCGCTCGCTCGCTCATTGACCGAAAGTGGCCTTCTGCCCCGTGGCACCCGTCACTGGCGCAAGGCACTGCTTCGCCCACTCAGCCTTGCGTTGGCGCTCTACGGCTTGCTTGTTATGATTGTGTGCCTGGTTACGAACACCTTTTTTAAGATTTCGCATTAATAAGCCCGTTTCTTCCTGCATGAAACTCCGTGTGCCCCCTCTTGTTGGTCTGGGCTTGGTTTTGTCATGATCTTTGACCCTACCATATACAGTCTGAGGAACCTCCCTCCTTGGATTTTCTTTCCCGTTCATCGGGCTCATTTCTTTTTGCATATTCTTGTCCCTTTGCGCGTTGCTCTAGATGTTCGCTGCTTTGTCTACCCTATAGGGTATTGCTTTTTGCATAGTTTAAATTTCATTTGATTGGGTTGTCCGTGCCGGGCGTTGGGAGAATTGTACCTATTTGACTTGGTTGCTTAATTTATATTGATTGGTTGGCTGCTAATTGTTATGCGGGTATATTATGGCTACTTGCTTTGCTTCGGTAAGAAAATAAAAGACACGATAGGATTCCAAGCAGACTTACAACAGACCTGTAAAATCTCAAGATATGAATGAAGAGAAGTGTACAATAGAAAGCGATTCAAGCAAAGCCCAGTGTAAAGCACGAATACCCTTATCCGAAACCAGTTCTGAGAAGCACCAAAACGCAAGCTTGTTTGTATGGCAATTGCCATCTGGACCAGAACCTGCTAAAGGCAGGCAATTAAGGCAGGAATTGCATGTATCCCTTCTCGCCCTTCAGATATTCCAAAGCGCAATTAATTATTGTTGTTAGCACCGTTCAGAATCCGGAGGATGGACATGAACAAGTTAAGCACGTCGAGATAGAGCGAGATCGAAGCAGCGATCTCCTCCTCAACATGATAGTGTCGCATAACCAGCTGCGTATCGACGAGAATATAACCCGAGAAGACAAGTGCGCCTAGCACACCATAGATGATCTCCATGGTGCTATTGAACGGGATGAACATAGCTACGAACCCGAACAGGATCATGAACCACAACGCGCCGAACAGGTATGGCATCCAGTCAGTGAAGTCATATTTGGTCTGGCATGCGAAGAGGGTCAAGGCGACGAAGATTCCAAGTGTTAGTGCGAGCGCTTGCACAACTACCCTCGCGTCGTAGAACGATGTCGCCACGCTGATTGCGTACGCTTCGAGAATTGTGAAACCTGATAGGAAGAGGAGGTTTGCTGGGTAGGACTTTCGCTTCCAGAACGTTGCGAGCATGAAGCCCAGAGCGCCGAAGACGGAGATTATCATCAACCAGAAGTTGGACTGGATCCAGACGCGGTAGGAGTCGTTGAAGAAGGAGATTGAGCTGAGGATCGTTGTGAGGAGGAGTTGGGCCGTTCTGGGTGAGGGGTGTTAGTAGGGAATTCGTCGAACCCATGCGCTTGGGTCTGAGTTTGTAAATCGGGTTGAACTTACAGGATAGAGTACACTTTGCGAACGAATTGCATACGGATGTCAATCGTTCCTTCAGCCACGGTACCTCCAAACTATGTGATTTTGTCAGTCTCCATCCTTCCATCTAGGCACAAGTCCCCCAAAACGCATGGTGCATGCATACCTTGAAATCATCTGGGAGGTTGTCGCCCTCGCTGCGAGGCGCTGGCTCTGGAACCGCTGTAGCCTGGTAGGAGGGAGGGGCTTGGGAGTAAGGCGGGTCGTCTAAGGAGTCCCGCTGAGGAGCGGGCTCATATCTGGTGTTTGCAGCCATAGTGGTAAGTTGAGATACCTTTAGTCTCTCAGCGCTGGTGTAGAATGTTGGATGATCACCGACAAAGAGAGAGAGAGTGAAGCCTGGAGGTGGATCCTGTATGATGTGACGGGTCACGTGTGATAAGCCAAATATGGGGCCGCGGCTGCTTACGTATACACTTCGGTGGGCCGGGGCCTCAGGGAGACGGGGTATAGATGTAGATCACACTTTACATCTCTTTCACTATATACTCTCTCTTATGGCTAATTCTTCTGACTGTTCTAACTCTGATACTAATTAGGGTGAGATATGGGTTGTTTAAAAAAAAGACTACCAAGAAAATACATGGCAAAGCTGAGTAATCGGCCGACTATTCTAAGGTTCGTGAATATATAATGGTTAACGATGATGTAAATATTTGAGAATTAAGAACATTGTACAGAAAGCAACTACAAAAGTTCATGGGATAACTAAGAAAAGCCACCCTAAACCAGTCGGACTCTAGCTCATAGGTAATCAATCATTGTTCTATAACTCCCATTACTGAGGATACCAGCCGACAGCTTCTCACTCGATGATTGAGATCTTAAAGTCCAGACCATCATCTTCGCAAATCTCCGATTCGTTCCTCGATGACATGTGTCGATTCCAGTTGTCCATGGGCAAACAACATTTGACAGCCGACGAAGGCACGGTCAATGATCTCGCGTATGAATCGAATATACACAGGTCTCGCAAAGTAAAAGAGGACCCTGAGAATTGTGACATGCACGACCTGGTTGGTTCTGAATGGGCTGGACATTCCGGGGTCTTGATAATCTGCCGCGAAAATACCGTTTCGATATGATTATCGGTTTCGGACTGCGAAGTATCCCTGTGAGGGTATTGTGTGTAGCTTTGTGAAGACATCTTGAAACAATTTGCAGACTTTTGTCTTTTCAGTAAATTTAAAGGGTGGAAGTAACGTTTCCAGGGCTTGGCTGGGGATATATTCCATGATTATGCACTGGATGTTTGTTTGGGAGTCGATGGGTAGCAAACGCCTAGAGTGTGTATACAAAGGAAAAGTCACTTCAGCACTGATCTTACAATTAATATAGAAACGTCTTTGAAATATATGACATTGCTAGAACGCTTCCAATATATATAAGCATTTCTGATTCACAGGTATAAAACATAGCAGAAAAGAACTGCAAATAAACTCTAGATCCCATCGATCTATGAAGAATTTGAGTTATCCGCGCACGACCAAGCAGCTGAACCGCCCGTCGCATTGTAGCTTGCGATAATGCTGACAATGGAACCATATGTACCAGCAACCATCATGAAAGTACCAATAACAACAACGAAGACACTCCAGCAAACCATGGCCGTCCATCTTGGGGATCGGTCGACCTTGCCCTTGCTCCAGTTATCGTACAGCCACATGCAGCCCATGGGTTGGAAACACATGAATGTGCCAAGCAAAGCACCGATAAGCGAGACGAGACTGTCGAAGACTGGAATGGCGCTTGCGATGATGTAGGAAATAAGACCAACTCCTACGGTACAGCCAATCCAGGAGCCCCAGTGGATCATGCTGTTAGAGGCGAGGTGCTGGGAGCCTCTGAGAACGCGAACGAAGATGAATTTCGCGGGGAGCTAGCAGTGTTGTGTTAGTTCGTAATCCATGGACACAGAGATTCTGAGATATGAGAGAAGGAACACTTACGTGAACGAACAGCATGACACTGACCAGAAGACCGGGAATGGCAAAGCCATAACTGATCTTCTTCATAGTGGGACCAGCGGAACCAAGTGCAGGCGAGGCAACATAAGAACCGCAGTAGTAGTAGACTACCACACCGATAGTAATGTAGACAGCCGTCACGACACTTTGGCAGATTACCAAGGCGCGAGTATAGTATATGGGGTCGCGCATCTCAGACACGATAGAGAAGAAAGCCGGTGTACCGGCGTAGGCGAAGACAATCGAGGCCACGGCACTGATGGCCTCACTAAATGAGGGATTGGCGACGATTTTGTAGTCAGACACCCAGGTTCCCTCTTGCGGGGCTAAGGCTGGACGGTCCTGAACGCCGACAGCGATAGTGACAATGAAGACTATGGTACGAATCGGTTAGGGTTATGTTATATATGTGAGGTCAGCAGGGGAGATATCTTACTTGCGAGCAGGATGCAAGTCAGTCCAACCCAGGCGAGCCAACTAATTTTTCCAAGAGTGCGAATACTGCCGAAGCCGATTCCTGCGATGGCTGCAACAGCAACATAGACGGCTGTGCATGTGGCATGAGTCGAGACGGCATTGAAGGCAATTGAAAGACCGAGCATTCCTGAGCCGGCGACGAAAATCCAATCTGGAGCAGCAGGTTAGAAGTGAGTCTATAATGAGTATAATTTTATGGACTTACATAGGCAGAATACAGCGCCAAAAACCTCACGACCGATGGAACCGAACATCAAGAAACCTGCATCGTCGATACCATAGACTGAACGATGGTTAAGCTTGAATACACCGACCATGTAGTCGGACCACGTTGTAATGATGCCAACGGCAAGCAGGCAGATGACGCCTGGTACGAGGCCTAATGTATCAAACGCAGCTGGGATGGAAAGGACACCGAGGCCAATCTGACTCTTCATCATGAGGATTGCTGTTCCTGCCCATCCTACCTAAAGAGGGGTTAGTCTTGACCCAGTTTGACATTTTACAAGGAGGATGAAAAGAAAAATGATAAACGATAAAAGGAAGAGAGCAGAAGAAAAGAATAAACATACGTTTCGGTAGTTGGGACCGGATTCGGTGATCTCTCCAAAGACATCGTCGTGGTTGTGAATAGCACTAGGCTGGATATCATTGCTCTGAGACAGAGCAAGACCTTCCAGGTCCTTTTCTTTTTCATATCTATCATATTGGAGAATGGAGAATGGGGAATGGGGAAATGTACGGCGGATACAAAAACTGGGTCTCGGAAGTATATGGGATGTTGCACCGTTTATAACTCTGTCCCTCAGACCATCGGCTGATAGATGGCCCAGAGAAACAGATAAGCGTTAGTTAATTGGAGTCAATGCAGTTAACGGTAACTCGTTTACACCCGAACTGTGGATACTCAGTATAATCGCTCACTTTTCTAAGAATTATACGCTAGGCCAGTTTCAGATGTCTAGATCCACCAGAGACCGGGAATATTAATAAATTATTCTTGAAAATTTACATTTTACATATCCTTGCACTTCTGACTGGCTAGTTAGTACAATGACAAGTACGTGGAGACTATATGTGGAGTACAAAAAGTGAAGTTGGTTGGATCCCCCCGAACTACCCCATGGGGGAGACGCGGAGAAGTTTTTGAATTGTACCCAGTAACCTTAACTAAACTACATGTACGTTACGCCGCCAAAACCTTGGAAAAAGCGCCCACTGCATGTCTACCATATCCCTGCGTAAAAAAAAATAGAACGAGAATATCACTTTGATGCTATATGCATGCCTGAAGAACAAACAACATTTATCGATGTTATCAGATCTCTTATCTCTCCAATTACAAAGTTTAACTTGCATTTTAAGATAAGTAAACTCGAATTGATATTATCAAATCCACAAAATCCACAAAACCCACAAGATTCAGATAAGCTGAACAAGCTTAGGCCAACACCGACGTCAGTGTAACACAACATCGTGAGGGGTTTAAAAAGGGGGAAGGCAAAACAGGGGGCTTAGGTGGCTTTCGTCGGTCAAGCACCCGGGAGCCGGCTCCATTCCCGCCCGTAAGGCATCTACTCCCGAGACCGGCAAGCGTGCCCGGTCACCTGCTCACATGATATATTGTACCTATGTACCAATGTACCCCGTAGATGTCATGACTTTCCTATTGTGTCTCATATCTCTTTCTCTTCATTGGCATTGGTCCATTAATATAATGTATAGTCTGTAGTTTGACCCCGTCCGACCCGTGATAGGGATGATCGTCGGTGCCCGGTACACCAAAATACCAAAATAGGAATCTGCATATGTCTCAACTGTAAGCCGTGCTGTGGCTGTATAGGCAAAGGATCATGGCGACTTCATCCTACGTGCGCCCCATTGAAAATTTTCTACGCTGTACGGAAGTACTCCGGGGGGCAAACTTGGCAATACGAGCCCTATCCACCTGGGCACTCTAGGGGAGATCTTCATCTTTGCTTAGATTAGCGTATGATGTGGCCCTGGAGCTGAAACGTCGATCATGGTATGGAGTACGGAGTAGATAGGATCCCAACACTAGTTTGTTATGTACATATGCAGTATGATCCACCCTTATCAATGACTTTCAACCGTATCCAGCCCTTGCCGGTTCCTGCGTGATTTTTCTCTCTGAAACAAATGTTCTAGAATGAGTCCGTGAAATGCACGACCCATGCATGGGGTTATACCTGCCAGAAATAATGCCACGAATAGCCCTAACGTGGATGTCCTACGCTTACACCAACAAAGTAAGATTGACCCCAATAGATAGGACGTTATCAGTGGCAAAAATATATCGTTGGGGCTAGTTGATGATCAGGCTGACGGGAAACTCTGAGCCCTTTCTGGGTTGATTTGACTTCCTCTCTCTTCCTCATTTGCAGAACCGCTGACTTCGTGATTCTTTTTGGCAACTCATCCCTCACATATCAGGATAATATCGAATCGGTCGACTTTTATCATATACCAATCATGGCCGTCGCTACGATACTCTACTATTTTATCAAGATGACATTTTGGCAGCGCTGCTGGCGTGATTGTTGCAGTACAGGCAAGGGGCATACGATAGTACATAGGCCGCGGACATACACCGCTAGGCCAATTCAGACTCAATGTTGGCCCACGAAGAGAAAAAGCTCGCCACTCATGATCTAGACACCCCCAAGCCTAGCCCATGCGAGACATTTAGGTTCACTGCGCAGGATCTAGCTCGGAACCACTTTCACTTTGGAGACAAGCCCCCAAGGCTGGGAACTTCAGAGTTCAGAACTCTATGTCCAGGGACAGATGCAGACAACTGCAGTTCCCCTCACGCAAAAACCGTACACACCTTGCTCATGCTATGCGATAGCATTCTGGGAGAGGAGAGAGAAAGCGAAATGCGAGTGTATGAACTGCAGTGACTGGGGAGAAAAAGAAGAGGAGGGAGAGGAAATAAGGGGATCAAACTTTTCCCTAGCTACTCGGTAGTGCTGGCAAACAAACAACGCCATATCTCTGATCCCTGCACTATCTTCGCGGACACCTACCCGGTGATCTTCATTGCACTAACTGGGGAAAAGAAGAAGAGGGAGGAAGAGGAGCAAACAGCTCCCTAGCTACTCGGAAGCCCTGGCGAACAACAGGGCCAGGGTGGCCATGTCTGATCCCAACACTTTCTTCGCGGACACCTACCCGATTATCGTATGAGGACATATCTCCGCAGCTCGGTGATGTGCACAGAACGGGCAGGAGCACGTACCAAGCGGAATAACATTCCGAGGAGACAACTGCCTCAGACCAGACTCGGGCCAGGAAACCGTAGTCGTATCTTACATGATTGCGACGAAGAGAAGAGCTGACTCGAAACCCAATTATTAATATTTATCCATAGCAAGATAAGAAGTATATGCAAAATACTGGAGATATCTATAATTTCACATCACATCAAACGGGGCGACGCCTCCGCACGGGGCCGATAGACAATATGCCCCCTGGTCATTGGCACTGATAGGCAAAATGGCGCAGCCTACCACTGTGAAACCTACTCAACAATCCGACCCATCGTATCCCTGCGCTCTGAAATCGGTCTCGATCCCGAATCCTCATCTGAGGTCAGATCCCCCTCGTCGTCTTCGTCCGTGCTGTCGTCCGCGCCATTCGCCAAATCCTGTCCTACACTCGCGCTGGACATGAAATTTGGCAGACGTCTTCGCTCGAAATCCTGTGCATGAGCTGAGGCCACGATTGTGCCGACTCGGCTAATACCAACCGAAGGGCGGCGGTGGCGGGCGCGCATGCTGGACATCGAGGGGGTGCCGTGCTCGACGTCGCCGGGTGACATGAAGGGTGTTGAGGCGTGCTGCTGGTCTTGGAGTTGGACGTCTTCTGCTGAGCCATCGAGAGGGGGTGCAGCTGGTGAGGGGACGTCGTAGGGGAGAGGGACATCACGGGAAGCTCGGAAGAGGAGGACGTTTGTGCAGTGCTCGTTTTCGACGCGGAAGATGGACCAGACGCCGCGGCGGCAGACTTCTGAAAAGGCGACCATGAAGCTGAGCAGGGCGGACTGCTGTATGTTCCTGATAAATACTGCGTAGAAGATCCAGTTGAAACGGACAACGACGTCCAGCAGCATTGCGGCGTAGTATACCCATACGCGACGGAAGGCGAGGACTTCACGGAGCATTGGGTTCTTTGCGTACGGGTTACCCAAACTCCAGTCCATAATTAGGTCCCATACTGAGGTGTAGACGGCGTTCAGGAGGGCGAATGTGATGAACGCGGCTTGGAATCGCGTTTGGAGGTCGATGCGGTACATGCTGAGAGTGGCATAGTAGAGGACGCCGAATATGTACTTTCCCAAGTTCAGGAGATGGGGGAATGCGTTCTTTGTGTCCAGGTATCGGCGAATACATTGGAAAGCTCGCCAGACAGAGGGAAGGCATTGGAAGAAGCCCAAGAGTCGAGAGTGGGAGGAGTTGCACTTGGGAGGGTAGTCCCAGTACGAGGCATATAAACAGAAGAAGAGCTCAATGTTCCCCATGGCATATGTCTGAGAGCAGTACATGTCGCCGAGGAAGAAATCACGAAACTCGACGGGGTAGATTCCAGCAAGCAAGAGGCGCCACTAAATCGGTTAGATACGCTACTCGATAGTGATATTATGTTATATGGACTCACATTGGAAAAAGCGAACCATTTGCGGCTCCTGTGATAAAGAACACGGGCCGGCAAGAAAATGATAATGGTCGTCAAGCCAATAAGGACGACAGGCCAGTAGATATACATGTGGTTGTACCATGAGAAGTTGAGCCACATGAATAAACCCATCAAGAAAAGGAAGAAAGAAGGGATCTATACTTGTTAGGATGAATCATCATAGCGCGCGAAATAGGACATACCTCCAGCAACTGACGCCACTCCAAGGTGTGTCTGCTATCGTATTCAAAAACAAATGCATGGTTGATCTTCGACTTTGTCCAGATCATACAATCCAAGCAGAAGAGCAAGAAATGAAACACAATGAGGAAATACCCACCATATATCTGCTCGATTGGTCAATGAGGTCATAGAATAGATGAAAAGGCGAGAAACCTACCTGGAGGAGATAACTGGTCCGAACTTGTTCAGCGACCTCCGCCGAGCGGAGATTTGACCTAGCATCAACCAAGGCCTTAATAGAAAACAAAGTTCCACCCATCAACAAGAGACCGGAACGGAAAGTATTCGGTGAGTAATCGCCGGATTTTTTGAGTGTGTGACGGAGTTTGGAGACGGCGATTTTGCGATTGCCGCGCTCAAAGTAACGGGAATACAAGTCTTCAACAGCGACCATCAAGCTGTCAATCACTTCACTCTGTACAAAGGACGCTTTGTTGACCTTTTCAGACATGTACCGGAGCGGTGGGCGGGCGTTGACCGCTTTGTCGTATTTCTTGTTGATCTTCCGGAAGGCGGTTCGGTTCAAATAAGCATATCCCTTGAGAAGCTCGACTCCGCGGTAGAACTCCTGCAACGCATGTTTGAGCTTGCGCTTAGCAGATCGATACGGCACTTCTTGACTTTGCGGATCCTGCCGCCGCATAAAGTCTCTCCGGTTGGCGATGAAATCCCGTTCTTGGGGTTGTATGCCAGGAGTCGCCATCTGCGCCAATGCTTCCGTGTTCTTGCCGAAGCGATTCTTTCCTGCTAATGTGTCCTTGATTCGAACACCTTTCATTTTTGCGAATCCATTTTGCCGTTGCTGTGTATCCGAGTCATCAGATCTGGTGCCTTTCTTAGAAGCCAGGACCTCTTGGATGCGCTGGTCTCGCATAATATGTAACTGCTGACGAAGGACCCGCAGTTTTTCCGTGGCCTCTTGTTCTTTCATCACATAAAACGCATCGATCTTATTCAACTCGCTATCCAAGAACTCGAAGAACTCGTCCTGTCGTTTATCAAGCTCGGCGCCAGCGCCAGAATCAAAATGCGATCGCCTCCCGCCAGGCTCTCCCTCCGCCGTGAACACGCGCCGCAGAAGCTGTGATGTCCGGTGGCCAGATGGCACCTTTGCTAGGGCGTCCCCAATCTGACTTTGATAACTCGTGCGTTGGTCCAATTGGGGCCTCTGGGCGGGCACAGGTTCTGGGATAGGGTGAGAGGGAGAAATGTTCGCCATGCTACGGCGATCTATGACTGGCGAAGGTGTCCGGAGATTCCTATGTCTGTCTGCAGTATCCTCGTGTGGCAGATATTCCTCATCTGGATCAAGTGCCGGGTCCGGAAGTTCAAAGGAGGCTATGTCCGAACCTGCAGTATGGTGTTGCTGTGGCGGCGTTGCGAGTATGCTTCCATAACTACCAACATTTTCAGAGAACCGCGATCCTGACGTGCGAAGCGGTTGTCGCTCGGTTTTGGGCACCGGCGTGGAGCGTGCTGTTGATGGCGGGTTGGCAGCGCCTCGCTGTGGCGTCGATGGGCTATTGTGTTCTCCTGCATCGAGCTCTTTATCGGTATTGGACGGGGTGAGAGCAGAGGAGGCTGCGCCGCGACCTTGCGGGGTGGAAGTGGGATATCGATTGGACGGGACATGGGGGCTGCGGTTTGCCTTTTGGAGGGCTCGAGTGATGGCCTTGACTTTCTTCTTGCCGGTCTAAAAAGTCAATCCAGGTAAGTATGGCTCTGATACATCAATTGTGGTCACAACAACCAACCTTGTAGTCGAGATACTTTGCCCGCCACTCAGGAACAAGTTCTTGTTCCAGCTCTCTGCGGATTTGAGTCAGCCACTGGAATGTCGCACAATGTCACGGGAAATACAAACTTGGCAAATTTCATCCTCACCAACAAACCACCGTCATTGCATACGGTTTTAGACCTGGGGGTGCCTGCTCTGATCCGATCATCGAATCTCACACAAGTGTGAGGGGTCGAAAGCTTGGGCGAAAGGTAGACCAAAGCCTAGCGCCGCCACTCTGGAGAAGAGATAGGGGTAGACGAATAGTATCGGAAAGAAAAATCTCGAAGGAAAATAAGTAGAAATTCCAAGCCGATATACTCACAGCTCGAGAATCTCCCCAGAAAATCTGCAATAGCGCAAACTCTGTAGCTGAACCTATACTTTTTGCACGTGTATGAGCTCATCAGATTTTGGCGCCTGAACTGTTAGGCCACAAGTCCACTATTGGTCAGCCTTGTACTCTGATTGGTTATCATGGGACCCTCAGACCCACAAGGCCAGATTCCTGAAGATTGGGGAATCCAAGAACTGCGAATATCCTCACGTCTTCCATACTCTAGGGTTTATTCACTATTAAATCTCGCAACGGTCATTCGATTTCTACCCAGAAAGAAAAAGAAAATATCCAAGTCGGACGCAATTCACGGGCAATTGACCCAACGACAAGTCTCCTATCTAAGCTCCGACAGCATTGGAATGTGGCCGGAATGCGGTCGGCGGGTTCTCATGGTGATGACTGGTTCAAACAAAGCCCCGGTATCCCTGTTAAAGCTTGGCGCATATTTACTGTCGAACCGAGTGTCTCAAGACGTAGGTAAACGTACGTAGCCCTACGTATGTCTGTCGGAACTATGTCATGCAAGCGCGTGCATCGTACATACAAACCTACATAGGTACGACCTCGGGATGTGGATATCGATATCGGTCTTGTGTTACATTGGACGTTGTACTTCACCGCTCTTTCCAGGTACGAGGTTGATATGTTCAAATTGTATGATAGATCATATCTTTGTCTCTTACTACATACGATCACAGGGTGTTCATAAAACAAGTATCATCATTCATCCATTGCTATCGTGGGAACGAGTGGCTTAGTAGTTGCCACGCTCGTAACGCTCCTCGTACATGTGCTCGGCGTTCTTCTTGGCGTGGTGCTGGGCCTTCTCGCGGTCAACCCAGTCCATACCCTTGCTCTCGACGAGCTTGTCGACCTCGCCGCCGACGATACCGGCGAGGAGCTCCTTGGCGAAGGCGTGGCTGACGGGCTTGCCTATATGTTCAAATTCAAGTTAGAATGTCATCCAATATAGAGTAGGTTGAGATTGAAATGCGGTGTTTTACGTACCCTCCTTGCGCTGGTGGTCCTCGTAGGCCTTCATGCCGGCAAAGGAAGCGGCACCGGCAGCGAACTCGTGAGAGAACTTGCCCTCGTGGTGCTGCTCACCGTTGTACACCTCCTGGTGTGCCCTCTCGGATTCGTCTAACTTGGCGTTAGCATGGCTTGTCGCTCTGGTGAACCAATGGAGAGGTATTGGGATATCGCCGGCTATGCAGGTCGGGTCGGGCCCTAGTGCATGCGAGCAAATAAGGTCTAGATGTCTTATGAGGGAAGGTTGAACTTACTCCAGCCCCAAGCCATTGTGAATGTGTATAGATAAAAAGGAGGGAAGTGAGAGATAGGTTGTTGAGTGATGGAAGAAAAGAATAGTACAACGTAGCGGGGGGGTGAGGGGATCTTATACCCAGGGAAGAGGAGGAATACTCTGGAAGGGCTACGTAGTCTACGTTGTACTAAGGGTCGGAAGTAGCTTTCTCCCCTCTGTTTCAGCTCGAGTTGCCCCACCATCCGATCTGCGAGAATAGTGGCTGAGTTGATTCCGACAACATATGTGCATATATACTCCGTACGTTGTACGTAGATATGTCGGGGGATGGAGCCAAAAACGCCCCTCCAGCATACGAATCAGAAAAAACTACCAGAGTATTAGCCTGTGGCTGGTGAAGATAGCAGATGCTCGCATTGTTGTTGTTATTGTCGGGTACCTCGGGCGACGAGGAGGCGACTTCATTGGGAGGTGCGGTGGAATCATCGGCATTACCGTGTCGCTAGTCTACGACTTCATTGGAGGACCACCGGTAGTGACGGATACGGAGGACTTTGTACCACGATCCCCGCTAGGAGTTGTTTTAGCTTTTCCCAAATTCTAGCTGAACCACCTTTTGGTTCCCAGCACCGATGTTTGGTCCAGGGCCCTGAGGAACATTTTACGTGCATGTCCAACTGTCCAACTCGGCAACACACCAAGTAGCACCGTACTACACTGTGTATGCTTTACTTTTAACCCTGCTTTCCGCGGGGTACTTGCCAACGCCTTAAGCATACAGTACAACTCTCTACCCTTGCGCTCGGCGTTACGAGTACGTGTCCCGCGGATGTCCAATAGCGCGCCGATCTGATGGACCCAAAATGGGTCATCTCAGCCCTACTCCGCTATGAATGGACGAATAAAAAGATGACACAGACAATACTAGCTCCATTTCAGATCAATTATACGGTACTCATTACGCAGTTAGAAACTGATCACCCTGGTTTTGCCGAGCCAAGCCTGTCTCTAAGGCTTGTCGTCGCCTTATAAGTCTCGGCAACACTAGCCACGAGAAAAGTGGCGGTGAACATGGAATGTCGGGTATAAGTCCCAATATTGCAATTACATTGCCTCCTAATAAGCAGTGAGTCCATAGAGGTTGAATGAAGAAGTGCGTTGTATTGAGTAAACTCGGAGTTAAATCTTTCTTCTAATAAAATACCGGTGGGCTCACCCCAAACCAATTACGTACTAGAGTATCGGACCTCAAGCCACACTTGGACTAAAATAGCACAACCCTTTATGTTCTGTCTGCGCAGATCAGCATAGATGCATAATTGTCGTGATATCAGTCGGCACATGAGTGCCTATATGTATCCCGGTATATGCGTAGAGATATACTATTTCAGACAATATATCACACAAGAATAGTCGGCCGCTTATGCGCCCTTGTCATCTCTTTCTGGTGGTCCTTTTAGATGTTCTTAATATGTCTTTTTTAGGTGTATACCAAGGCAGTCAAAAAACCACATGTTGTGCAAGAGACTTTTTTTCTATGTATATAACCTTTGGCTGTTTGCTATCTATGAGTGGGTGCTAGCCGAGTTCTTTACAACGAAACATATGTCAGGTCAATTACACTCTCCAAGTAGAACATAACGCACAATGTGAAGGCAATAACCAAGGTACCTCATCTAACCATTGACTATCTCAATAATGTCAACGTTGATATCATTGTTGATCAGCGCCAGGCAACCGCAATACCGTCACCTACACCGACCGAACTTCAACTCGTCTCCCAATCAATGTGAGACCCTAGCTCCATAAACATATCCTTGAGCATTATAAAAGACTTGGCATTATACATTGTCCGGAGTACTCCGTACCGTGTGTCCCTACAACTACGTACTTTGTACTGGGGCTAGTAACAACTTGGGGCTGAGAACTACGCCACATCTACTGACACAGCCACACTCTACGCTATTCTCCGAGCTCCAAGCTCCAAGCTCCGCAAGCTCTAACTGAACTCAGCCCAGCTCAACTTGACTCTACTCTACTCAATTCAGCATGCCCACCAAAACCCCCACCCCATCCGACTTCCCGTCTGAACTCACCGTCACCGTCACACCCGCACCCCCCCCCCCTCCCAGTCCACATCCCCAGCCCCAAATATCCTCCTCCTACTCCACGGTCTCGGCGACACAGCCGCCTCATTCACAAAATTCGCCGAAGCCATTCGCCTCCCCCGAAACAACCATCGTCACAGTCCAAGGCACAGCCCCACTCCCCTTCGACCTGGGCGGCTTCCACTGGGGCGACGATGTCTCCTTCGACTCCGCGACCGGCGCACTAGACATGGACGCCGGCCTAACGCGTAGCACAAGAATCCTCGTGTCAGACGTCGTACGTGGCACGCTTGTACAGAAATGCGGGTACGCGCTGCGCGAGATTATGGTGCTAGGCTTCGGGCAGGGTGGGATGGCTGCGCTGGCTATTGCGCGGGAACTTGGGCTGAAGGGAAGTGGTAATACTGATAGTGGTGAGGTCGGTGCTCTTTCTGGGGTTATCTCTATCGGGGCGCCATATCCTTTGTCGGGATCTAGGGTTGGGGATAAGAATCGGTCGCCGGTGCTGCTCGTGGCTGGGAGGGATTCGGTGGCTGTTTCGGACGAGGCGGTGCGTAGGACGAAGCAGGTTTTTGAATTTGTCGAGGTGAGCCGGTATGCTAGGAAGGGGGATGGGATGCCGTCAAATCGTGAGGAGATGTTGCCTGTTATGCAGTTCTTTGCGCGCAGGTTAAGGAGTAGGCAGGGTGTTCCCGAGGGAAGTGTGGAGATTAGTTGAACATAAAGCATCACATGTATAAAATTGAAGATTAACTAGTTCACGATTTGGCTTTGCTGTGCTGTACATCTGGGGGTGAGACATGGGGTGAGACATGGGGGCGTAGGAGAGCTAGAGCACGTAATTGGTGTGTCCCAGCACCTGGAAAATGACTATTAATGACCTCGATTGTGGTAGTGAAATAGATATATCAACTTTGGGTGATATCTAGCGACAATCCGTAGGATAATGTCTTGTAGTTCAAAGTAGTGGCATATTCGACCTGTCAAAGAGGGGTTATGGCGCGAATCGACAACGCACAATTGGCCGGGTTCTCACATTCGTCAATTTCGATCGCATCCAAGTCATCTGATCCCAATACGCTTTAGTATAGGTTCATTGCCCAAGCTATGATACCACATCTCGCAAGAAATTATTCCCAGGGGAACTTTTGATACAAAAAACCACCCAAAGGTACATAACCATCACTATCACATTCCCATCACATTCCCCACTGCATAATGTATGAAATTTAGACTGACCGCATAGTACGAAATGGCCTACAACCTCTCAATAGAAGTCTTCGGACCTGGCGATAGTCCCACACATCGATCCCACTGGGGGTTTATGATCAACAAACCCGGGAACCTGGAATTCGGCGATCTCCTCCAAGTCGAGATCATCGATGCAGGCAGGTTATGGTACGGATTTGCGCCTCGGTACGCCACCAAGATCGTCGACAAGGCGGCTGTGGGCATGTGCAAAATTGCCGATCTGACCTCTCAACAACGACACGACGCGATCAAGGTTATTGAGAAGGAGCCTGCTCCTAAAAATTCAATTGGACGGTGTCAGGATTGGATTTTTGATGCTTTGCTGGCTCTGGAGATTGAAGAACTCGTTCCTTCCGGTACTTCTGCGTTCTGGAAGGGGATGATTGGTAGGCCGGCACGAGAAGTTGCAGCCGCTTGTGGGACGCAGTGGACTGCTTTTGCTTGATATATACGTTACGTGTTATGTTTTGATGACCTAGATGAGGGCATAGGATGTGACCATTTGGAATGTTGGCGAAGAGAAAATGATAGTATCTGTAACTAATCATCTCACAAATCTAATAAAATTCTTTACAAACTAACTTTTTTAAGGGTGTATATTCTAGATTGCAAGGTCATTTATTTTAGTACATCAGATGAGAGAAAATTGGATCAATTGATGTCGGATTATGTTATACACTATATATTGTAAACCAGAATGAATTCACCAGCACGTATCTACAAGTTCAGCGTACTTCGTAAACTCTTCATCTGCCTGGAACATCTCCAACTCCTCCGGATGCGTACCAAAAGCAATCTCGATTCCCCCGTCTTCCCTAATTGGGAAAATAACGAGGAATCGGAATCGTCCATTCCCACGCTCAAGCTGTGGTCTTAAAGACTCAGGTAACCCACCATTGGCAAAGAAGGCATCTCCAAAACAAATCTCGTTGGTTGGGAATAGCATCATGTTGGAAATCATAGCATTCATATGTTCAAGACCCATGTTCGCCGTCGAAAATCGATCATGGCCTGGTAGTGACTGCAGAATTGAAAACGCGTCGTGGACGACTGAAGGGGTGATGCGCGCGGCGGATTGGCGGAGGAGATAAGCGACACGGCCAATGCTCGTCTCATTGGAGCACAGTATCTCGATCGGCATAGTTGATCGGTTGAGAATGAGTAGACTGCCCATGTATGTCGAGGGCAATAGTGAAGAGAAGTATGGACGGCCATCCGTGGGCAGCTCAAGAATGGACACCTCGTCTGGCCTGAAGGTCTGCTTACGGATCTCCGTGGCTACCTTGTATCGCACTCTGATAGCAGCTCGCCACAGGAAGGCTTGGACAATGTCACTGATTGATTTGATGACCCCCTTCGCTTCGGGATCGGAAATAACATCTTGCTTCATCTTCTCAAGCTTGTCCGGCTTAATCAGGAAGAGGGTCGTATTAGGACACCGTTCGGCCCGGGGAAGTGGCCAAACATCATGCAACTTGAAATTAGGCGCAGGAGGTAATTCATGGTCATTGAGGTCAATGGGAGTTTCTTTGCTTTTGTTGTCGTCAGGTGGGAAGAAAGGTAAGAAACCCCATGTGCCGGGATCAATCTCTTCGACTGGTCGAGCCCATCCTTCTTGGTCGTGAATGATCTCTGGCAAGGCGTGATTGAAGCTCTCAGGGTTATACCAGTTGCAAGTTGCCGTGTGATCACCTTGTAGATATCTGCAGTTCTCCGCCCAGGCCTTGAGAATGACCATAGCTCCGACACCGTCGAGGCAGCAGTGGTTCAGATCAACTGCAACTAAACAACCACCAGAAATGAAGTTTACTTGGCCAGAGAAAATGTCTGCGGGAAATTTGGGGAAGGGATCGTCTCGCAGAACGAGGCCATCCTTGAACGCAGACGGCGGGAAACCCGCTTCGCGTAACTTCCCAAAGGACGGAAGAACATCTGAGAGATCCTTGTACACGAGGCGATCTCGTGCAGAAGCCGCCATGGACAGTGGCGGAATTGTCACGCAGAGGTCTCCTTTGCCGTAGCCAATTTCTTGCTCCGAGCAGTGCATCATCCTGCCACTGAGAGCTGGTATCATATCAAATGTACGATTGAGTCCTTCCTGAAGATTGATAAAGGCTTGCTCAAAAGATGTCTCCTCGTGGATAGAGAAGTAAAGAACAATTCCCATGCCGTGGTTGGGGTTGACATAGTCGAAAGCGTTCAAGCGGAAAGATTGCCGCGCCCCGTGCTGGGCGATCATATCATTTAGCTTAGAGGCATCATTCCAGATTTGATCCAGAGGAATATCATCTTTAACAATTTGTGCCTCATCTATCAGCCTGGAGACTGTCGCGGCAAGGCTCGCAATAGTTGGATTAGCGTAAACGTGTCGAGGGGCAATTTTGTCACCCAAACCCGAAGCTACTCGAATTGCTTTCACAGCCGCAAAGACGCCTAGAGAGTCAAGCCCAAGTACAAATAAATCTGCGTCAGGAAGGACATCCTGGGGCTCAGAAAGTGAAGAGCCGACAATCTTGCGGATGGAGTCCTCGATCGAATTGGCAGAGCTCAAATCTAGACTGATAGCGTTGTCGGAATCATCACTGCGTGAGCTGTAGAAACGCTCGATGTACTCGGAATAACACGCCAGCGTGGCTGACCTTTTCACTGTTCCCTTGTCTGTTCGTAAGAAGGGCTTGTCTGGTTGTGCGAAAGTAACGAAGTCTTTCAGTAACTGGTTCTTGTGTCTGGACATAGAATTGGCTATCTGAATCGTTTGCCAAATACTGTCAATAAGATCAGGCGTTTTATTCAACGGATCCTTTAGCTCAATAAGTAGAGCCGCTTGGGGTTTTCCAGTTCCAAAAACAAGGCACCCACTAATGGCAGGGTGGGTAGTGACAAATGCCTCCGTCTCGAGCGGCGATATCTTGTACCCGTTTGACAAGACAACAAGATCATCGCTTCTTCCCTTAAAAGCCCACAGGTTAGGCTTGGTAGGGTGTTTCATATACAGGTCCTTGAAGTTGATCGAATCTTTTTCTGGAAACGTATGGAAGATACCCTGAAAGAGAGGCCAATGTTCATTGCGATGCACCCAGTGCTCATAGGTATCCGCTTCGAGCTCCTTGAACTCGAAACCAGAGTATGGGTGGAAGCAGAACCAGAACCAGTCTTCTCGCTCTGTCTTCAGATTTCCAATGAAGAGGCCTTCTGTTGTACCGGTCAAGTTGAGCACCCTGACCACCTCATTCACCTTGCCAGCACTGACAGGACTAACTGGGCCTCCAGATGCACAGATGAATTTACTCGACTGGAGCTTAGCCAAAACTTCGGGGGTTTCACCCAGTTCATCGACAAGAGATGGGACCATACTCCATATGCCAATCTTAGCTTCCACGGCTAACCTTTCCACAAGATTGAGATTTGGCAAAATACCGACTGGTCCCAAGACACAGTGGAGATTGAAAAGTGCAGGCATCAAAATATCCATGATAATGCCAGCGCCCTTTGGTATTTCAGTCAGCCAAAGAATCTCCCACACCATATCGAGCCCCGAAAGATAGAGCAAAATCAGGAGTTTACTCACGTGGCTCATTGGAAATGATGAGTATATCCTGTCCCCCTCATCCCAGCCTGAAGTCCAAGGAACCAAGTCGGCATTTTCACCCACGGGTGGGAGCAGTCGTACTGCATCCATAGTGCCAATCAGTCCATGGGACCAGGGAATGGGCTTGGGCAGCCCAGTACTTCCAGACGTATGCAAGAAGCAGAATGGATCATCTTTGGCCTCTTCGAAACTTTTGGTGTACGGGAAGGCTTCGGTGAACTCGTTGTCAAGAAGCTCGTGGAGCATGGGAAGCTGCAAAGACGTCATAGGTCGGTTCTCAAGAACGTCTTTTGCTAAAGGTACCGGAGAGGCGTCGACCGCATTGACCCAGATATTGCAGTTTGTTGCCGTGAGAACTGCGAGGACTCCATCTGTGTTGTTCTTGGGCGACAAGAACAAAGCCTACCGGGAAGAAGAAGAAGAAGTCAGAGTCGGCGATTTTAGATCATAGTCCTTATGAAACATACCGCGTAGCCCGCCTTGACGCAGGCATATGTCAGCAGAATATGTCGGAGATCGTCTAAATCAACCAGTCGAGTTAGTGAATCGACTTCGAGATTTTACATATCGGCTGAACATACGCGGTCCAATGTAAGCTACAGGTTGAACTGAGTCGGGGGTGCCAACCTGATCTCGAAGCCACCAGGCAGTCTTGTCAACTGCTCTGGTAAACTGTCGAGCAGAGACAGGGCTGAGTTTGAGGAATCCGTTCGAGAGTGATGCAAGAGAGAAGACGGTTCGCCCAGGGTCGATGGCAGCAAGACTATCCATTATTTGAGGGATCAGCCTTCTACCGTATGGCGTTGGCACCGTGGGTTTCATCTCTGGTTGTATTGGTGTAAGGTTGGACGCCTCATTGAACGTCATACGCAGACCAGATTGCGCAGGGGAGGATTTTTGCACTGATTGCACATCCGGTGTAGTGGACCTGCTGCCTGGTGATTTGCCCTCAGATGAAGAGAGGGAAACCTCGCTAGAGGACGATGGCAATGGCGATGGATTCTTCGATGTACTGTTGACATACGCATTGACATCGATAGACTTGGCCGACTGAAGATAGCTTGCCGTGGTCTCGTTAATAGCGATATATTCGCCGTGGTGCGGTTTTTCTTGATAGTGACTGGGCTTTCCGTTGACGTGGACAAGTTCCAGGCGGCTATCTTGGCTGAACTCGCCCATAGGTGCACTAACCCACACTCCATCTGCTAATTTAGCAACACAACAGTGCCATGGAGTAGTAAAGCCCGTCTTGGTGTTTAGCAAGCTGATGGGTAGCTTGGTACCGCAAATGGATTCGTGGATTGAAAGTCGCAGATGGTTGGGGTAGGCGTCCTTGATTGCTCCTGTAAATGCCTATCACCCGAGATTAGTATAACAAGCTAGTGTGTCCATGGGGGATACTCTCTGCTTACATATCCTCTTGTGAGCATCTGTTTGGCCACATACTTGCAATCTCGCTTGTAACTGTGGGCTGAACGATTCTCCCCTCGAGGAAAAATGTACTGAAGATCGGACTCTAGGAATCGCTTATATCCCAGATATGTCAACTTGATATCTGGATTAGTGGCAATTTCATGGTCAATGTTGAGGTTAGGATTGCCATATTTATTCAAAAGCAAGCGACGGAAGGTAGTACAGTTTGCCACATAGATAATCTCACTCATTTTCTCTGGCAGGGGAAACTCGAGAAGGTCTCGAATCCTTGAGAACGAAATGTTGTCGAAACTGTTCTCGACAACCATCTCACGTAAGGCTTCGCCATATTTCCAGGTTTCTTGGTCAGGGATACAAAGCAAGTCTAGAATCACGCACCACAAACACGTTAGTTATTCAAATCGGGTCACACCATTGGTGAATTCGCCCACGTACCATTGTAGGTAATGCCATCCGAGATAATGACAATACTAGCACCCGGAGGGTAAATATCCTGAACGCGCTTGCATAGGGTATTCAACCGCTCTAGGGCGAGCTCCTCTGCCTTGTCTGGCAGGCTGCCGAGCACCTTGTACACTTTGTTTGCCGACTTGAAGGGAAAGGCAGGTAGACACGCTTGCACACGCGCACCTTCGGAGACAAATCGGCCAATAACAGAAAGAAAGCCATCTCCATAGCCCTCGAGACGACCTTCTGAATAATCGAACTTGTTGAGAGCATACTCCAGAAAGATATCCAAGATGAGCTGCGAGATCTCCTTGATCTGACTAGCAGACTGCAAGGATCTGGCCAAAGTGCTGTCATCAGATTCAACTGTTGAAGAGATTGGCCTCTCGTTGGATTCAGGAAGGTGAGTGTCCAGCGATAGCATATTGATTTCAATATAGCAAGGTCACCCCGGCACTATATCTGCGCACTAGATCACCGGAAAAGGTACGAAATATGGCGAGGTGTACTGGAGATGGGTGAGTGAACTCAAGTGACGGAAAATGAGAGCAACAATCATTTCCATTATAGATGGAAGGCAATATCATTTATTGTGACTCGAGTGCGATACAGGGATTCGGACTCCACATCTGCAGTTGGAAATCGGCCCAGCCAACAAGAACCCAGTCATATCAACTTCCTTGGATTCATGACACATGCCACCGAGGAACACTCGTATTCCATTCAAAAATCTCAATATCAAGTGCTCGATATGACGTTGAAAGATTTATTTAATGAACTTCCGAGCATATTTGAGGGAATTTTTAGTTGCGGCAAGGCCTCCGATGGTCAAAGACCTAAGATCATGCCGGCAATACTGGCACTATACGAAGTACACTCAGTGGGAAGGGTCCGAGGTATAGTAATTCAAGAAGTTAGATCGACCTAGCTCGTGTCTGGTGCGGTGTCTACTGTGGAGCTGAGTTAGTAATATTAAAAGGTGAACATGCTTAGGTGGATACAGATATACATACGGAGTACAAGTCGAGTGAGTTGATTATGAGCAAAATCCAGAAGATAAGCACCTTGGCATGGGCGGTTCCACTCTTGTGAAACAGGTACATAAGTAATCCTTTGGATGATTCTGAGACTATGGAGTAAGACGAGGTCGTCTAGAAGTGACAAAGCTCCAGCCTCCCACCGACGAGCGCAAATTTGAGGTAATTGTAATATTTTAGTCTCTCTTGGACCCTTTCTTGTGAACTGGGAACATAAGTCATAGGAAGTAGCGGGGGTTTAAGCCCGATCAAGCATCAAGCGATTCCTTGACGAAAACTAAAGATGTCGAGTGGGTGCAATCAAAGACAGGCTCCGTCTCTAGTGGTCTGCTCCTTCCGGCTCGCTGCCCTACCCTGCAAGGCAAAATCTACAATATAACTGTGTCTTGACTACATACATTTATGTACATAGTTTTCATACGATTACTAGTCTCCTATCGTTATGAGTGAAGCGCTCACCGTCCAAGACCTTGAGTCTGATCACGAGAAGAAAGCTCAGCAGTTAAGCTATGAAGAGTCCAGCACACAAGATTCAGACACCGGCAAAGAGACTGAATATCCCCCAACAAGCCAAGTGATCGTAATTATTTTGGCGATCTACCTGGCAGCCTTTTTGGTAGCACTTGATCAAACCATCATCGGAGTAGCCATTCCAAAGATCACAGATCAGTTCAAGAGCATCCCCGATATTGCCTGGTATGGAAGTGCCTACTTCTTGACGTCTACAGCGCTACAGCCGTCATACGGCCGGATCTATAAGATCCTGAGTGTAAGCATTTTACCATAACATTTCTCTTACTCACATCCACAAAACCTTCTGACACTCTTTAGGTGAAATGGTCCTTCTTGGCTGCGGTTAGCATCTTCGAGATTGGATCGCTGATTTGTGGTGTAGCGCCCTCCAGCACAGTCCTGATCGTCGGTCGTGCAATTGCAGGAATTGGCGTTGCAGGCATCTTCTCCGGTGCTCTGGTGATCATCTCCATGACAGTTCCCTTGACAAAGAGGCCGATCGTTTTTGGTGTATACGGCATGGTCTGGGGAATCGCTTCTATTGTAGGGCCACTACTTGGAGGAGCATTCACTGATGGTCCTTCTTGGAGATGGTGTTTCTATATCAATCTCCCTGTTGGTGGGGTTTCCATCGCGGTCGTTGTCCTGGTTCTCCGCTTACCAAGTAACACCAAGGTATCGGGGCTCCCTATCTCGCAGCTTATCAAGGAGCTTGACTTGATAGGCGCAAGTCTGCTCATACCTGCTATCATATGCTTGATTCTCGCCCTGCAGTGGGGTGGAAATACCTATACCTGGAAAAGCTCTCAAATCATCGGACTATTTGTGGGGTTTAGTCTGTTGACTATCCTTTTTGCCGCATCTCAAATCTACGTGAGCAAACAAGACGAGAAAAACGCGACAGGCCAAAATGCTGGAAGGGCAACCTTACCACCCTCAATCCTCAAGCAGCGCACCATTTGGTCTGCCGGATTGTTTGCATTTTTCTTCAGCGGCGGCTTCTTCCTCCTGGTCTACTATGTTCCTATCTACTTTCAGAGCGTCAAAGGATCCTCCGCAATGACTGCAGGACTTCAGGTGCTACCATTCATGCTTGCCACTGTGGTTTCATCTATTATGGTAGGCGCTCTGGTCACTACAGTCGGTTATTACACGCCATTCCTGATTTCAAGTACCGCCATTGCTGCTATTGGTACAGGCCTCATTACCCTATACGACGTTGATATTTCGACAGGGAAATGGATTGGTTACCAGATTGTTGTCGGTGCGGGAATCGGTGCTGGTCTTCAAATCCCAATGACAGCCGTCCAGACGGTATTGCAGCCAGAGGACATCCCCGTGGGAACAGCCGCCATCACGTTCTTCCAGACACTGGGTGGAGCCATCTTCATTGCGGTCGGTCAGTCAGTGTTCCAGAATGGTCTGATAGAAGGCATTCGCACATATGCCCCTGGTGTTGACCCAGGTGCGATCATAAGCGCAGGGGCTACTGAGATGAGGCATGTGTTGATTACTTTGGACCAGCTTGATCAGCTTGATAATGTGATCCGAGCTTATATGAACGGACTGCGGGATACCTATCGTGTTAGTCTGGCTTTGATGGTCGCAGCATTTGTGGCAGCTTGTTTTGTTGAGTGGAAGAGTGTAAAGAAGAGGGAAGAAAGTATGGACGCTGATACAACACTCCATTCTTGATGAAGTCGTTGCCACGGGTCGATAGAACGGAACTTTTGTGTTTATGCCATTATCGGCTTCATTCTTTCATGATCGAGTGAACATGGTTTAGGGGTGGATTTCTATATGCATTTGCGAGGATACCTTCCTAGGTATTTCTGATAACATGGTGTAAGCCTCGTATGTCACTCTGTGTGCGCATTATACTACCTGGGGGCTGGACCTGTTTTCGATAGAGAAATATAGAGGCTGATGGCTGTGGAAGTAGCGAGCCCAGAGTACATGGGCTAAGATTGGAGACACTGAATTAGGACTGATCTAATGAACAATCGGAAATTCACTTGGTTTGGGCAGCCACAACTTGCTGACTAGGTAGAGCTTGGGAAGTTTCCTGAGCCAGTTTCTAAGGTTTAATCCAATAATAATAACAACGATAAAAATTGAGAAGTATACAATAGTGAGATTAAGACAATATGAGTGGAATTGAGCACATTTTTATATATAAGCGGGGAAACTTCGGAAAATCAAAGAGAGCAACAGATAATACATCTGTATTGTGTTTAGTGGTCATATTGTCGTAATTTAATTGATGATCTATACACACTACTATTTAGTATCTCCATCCCAGATCCGCACTCGTCACATGCTCGAAATACACCTTCTGAATTAGATGACAGTGCCTTTCACTTGCTTTTTGTCAACATTGTAATTTTTCCACATAGCAATTGCCGGGAAAGCAAGAACGAGAAGAACAGCTGCTGTGATACACTCGTACTTCTGGCTGTATGCCCACGCGTAGTTGATTGCGTTCCTTGTCTCACTACCAGGGGGATAGACGAGCTGAGCTGCCGAGCCACCGGCATAGATGGTTGCATAGTCAGCCTTGGCTGAATCAGGAAGGGCGCTGAGCAGAGCCTGTGGGAATGTATTGGAATAAATGGCGACTGCAACAGCGTAGCCAATAGCCCCGCCGAAACTGGAGGACAAACTGATCATAGCAATCATCAATGGGACGCCATCACGGTCCGCGGCAGCCATGACAGCCATCTCATCACCGATTACAAGGGTGCCACCGCCAAACGCGATGAAAATTTGACACATAACCAGATATCCGATGTTACCTTGGGAGCCTCGGAAGTGAATCATGAGGCCCGCACCAAGTAGCATGAGTGGTGCACCGAAGTAAAGACAGACATTCTTGAAGTGTTTGGTCTTGCGGATCCAGATGCCGAACAGAACCGCCCAGATGGTTGATCCAACGCCATATATCTGTGTCATGTATCCCGTCTTCGAGGTGTCGAGGTTGTAGACGACTTGCACGTAGTAGTAAAAATATTGATCCCACGTGTAGTAGTTGAAGAAAATCACAGCTGACAAGATGCACGCTCCAAGAACGGTGCGCTTTTTGAATAACTCCCATTTGATGAAAGGGGTTTTAGCAAAGGACCGCTCCCAAATAGCAAAAACTGGGAATAACAATATTCCAATGACAACCATGGCGATAAAAGTCGCCGAGGAGTATCCGCTAAAGCCATAAGTCTCAAGGCTGAACGGCAGAAGGAATAGGATGAAGGCCGCCATAAGGATGAAAGCGCCAACAACATCAAATTCGTGAAAGTAATGAACGAATGACTGCGCTGCTGTTCGACCACTCGGGACCCGAATAAAAAGTTTCAACTTCTCGGCTTTGCGTTGGTAGAACTTGAACACAAGAGCGAGAGGCACAAAGAGTAAAAAGGTGATGATAGCGAAACAGCCGTAAGCCCAACGCCAACTAGAATGGACCAGAAATGCCTGAGCAACAAGAGGTCCCACAAAGGCCGTACAGATCGTGGGCGTACCGATAAATGCGTAGACGAAGGCTCGGTTTCGCAGCCCGGACGCGTCGGCAACGAAGACTGTCAGGATGAAATTCAGGGCAGTATAACCAATCCAGTATAGAGTGTAGCCAGCTGCAAACCCATTGGGACCATTGCATGAGGCTATCACGATGAGTCCTAGGATGAATACCAGCAGTAAAGCCAGGAAGCCTTCGGCACGGCCCCAGATATTGAGAGTCTTTGCAATGGGAAGTTGAAGAACTCCACCAACGATTGTCGAGACAATGAATGCCTGGGATATTTGAGGAGCTGAAGCGAAGTTTGCATACGCGTAGTATATCACGTTGCTGCTAATAGATGATTGCATAGATAGAACGAAGAAGCATAACCAGATCCTGGCAATGAGTCTCGGATCAGTCACTGTCTCATATTGCTTTGACGAATGATGCGGGTGGGGATATTGTATTGGTCTGTTTAATGGAAGGGCTCAAGGCTTCGAATAGACTTACCAGGCGTATGTGGCATACAAGGCGGGTTTGGACCACACCAAAGCCGTAGCTTCCGCTTTTTGGACTCCAACTTGCGCTTCCTGAGTAACCTTATCGGGGTGCTCAAGCAATTCCCTCTCATTCCTTTCTTCTAGGCTTTGGGTATTCTCACTCGCCTGGTTTTCCCTCGTTGTTGTTTCGATGTTGACTGGCCCCTTAGGATCACTGCCAAAATCGATTGCTGTCATGATCACGAAGGTGATAGCCACAAATTTGACGATATTACTTTCCAATATAAGATGACGAAGGAAAAGTGGTCCCCTTGAAAGCTGTGGGAAAGAAGGCAAGAGGCAAGAAAATACTCCGTGTTGATAAATTGGAGAAGTGCCTGAGCTTACACAAGGTTCTTTTTAATGCCTTGCATTGATTTCAGAGGTCATGTATTGTGTATGCTGACTGCTATGCGGGGGATATTGTAGCCAAGGACTTTCTGTTCGAAGCAACGCGCTAAAGATTCAGGCAAATATTACCTCAATACAACCGAAAGAAACCATGAAACAATTTGAGACAACATAATCTACCTATATCGACGATTCATTGCTGTGAAAATATGTACAATCTCGTAATTTGAGATTGGTTGGATGATTTAGTTTCGAAGGGTCTCCATCGCGCCTTAACCGCCGTCGTCTTATATGTGCTCATTCCTTCTCAAAACAGGTTCCACATGCAACCGAGAACAATATCGGGTAATAGAGTACCTAGCCCCTCAAAAGGAGGCAGCCCTTTGCTCTAGATTGGGATTTAGAGTGGTATTGTACGGAAAGAAGTTTTCTTTAGGTCGAAGGAAGCACTCATGTGAGAGAGCTCCCGCCCATAGAGCATGTCACAACATCGGGGTTGCATCATATTGTGGCACTAGCTGCCCACGAGGTACCCACATAAAGCGGTCATTACCGAGCCCTGCATGCCTCCATACATTAGGCAGGCCAAAGGATCCAAATTTTACAAATGAAAGCAACTGTAGTACAGCACGTCTGTGCACCGAGAAAGATCCTTATGCGGCAATTTGCGCAAGTTTGGGTCGTCGTGGTCTTAGGGCCAAAGAAGCTCCACAGCAGACATGGGTCAGATAACGTCGGATCAACTCGGGGACATGAGTGCAGTCGGACCATCGTATTGTCGGAGATGGCAATGCAAATTGTTTCCCGAATTCCCCAAAGAAAAACCACTTGCGGTGTTCTGCAAGGAAGTTCTTGGTGGAATTGTGCCAGGCCTAACAACTACTGCCCCAGTTGATGACAAGTAGGTATCAAGAATCAAGATAGCGAAAATTGCGAGTGGGTGAGAAATAAAGCAGTTGCGCGTGCTAGATGCGGATTTGAATCGCGATGTAAAACTTGAAGTGGGCTCAGCGCCGTGTCAGGGTATGTCGTGGCCTAATTGCCATTCGCCTTGTTAGGCTAGGCCTCTCTAGAGCCCAAGGGATATATTCTATGCAATCATGTTCAACTGTAAACCGCCAGATATGTACTGAGACACCGAAGAACCCGTATAATGCCCCAAGCCCTTAAAGCATAAACTCCCAACCGTTTTTAAATGCAACCGGCAACCCAAACTACACCGGAAATCATTTCTTGATCCCAATAATAGCCAGATTGCGAGGACTTTGACCGTACTCAAACACCGGCTCAACCCAGCACTCCTTAACAGAATCATGCTCGCGCAAGAACTGCCAGCGATCAACCACAATAGCAGCCTCAACAACCTGAGAACTGAACGCCATCAGACTCCACACAATACTGAGATTCTTGCGTGTATGCAAGTACTCAGCCTCATAGCGCTGCAGCTCCTCATCAGACATGGTGCAGACGCGCTCCTTAACCAACTCGCCCCGGGTGGGATCCTGGCTCAATTTGACCGTTGCAGCACCCACGTACGCGGAGAAAGATAGGAACGCAGACTTGCGCAGTGATCCCACGATCAGCGCTATACCCCCGGCATTGGGGTTGTCTGTATGGTCTTTGTAGAGATCATCAGGGACGTCGGGTTTAGGGATGATGTCACGGTCTAGAAGAACGCGCTGCAGCAAAGCACGGTAGAAATGGCGCGTGAAGAAATCCTCGCTGTCGGCACGGCCCCAATTGTAGGGTGCCTGTAGGGCCATTGAACGGGCTGTGATGTTGAGCTTGAAGCCTGTTGTGGTCTTTGCTTGGTAGTTTTCATAGAGCTTGGACATTGGGAATCCGTGAGGGTCCCATGACGACCCAGTCGTTCTAAGGCGGGGGTGGGCGGATCGAAGGATGGGGATCTTGTATGTTGCTGGCCCCAATCGTTCTGTCACCATGTTGTAGCAGCAGCCGATCATGGCGATTGCTACAACAGAAGGGTTGAGCACTAGTGAGCGAAGTCCGTGGTGGACGAGGTTTCCGCATGAATGCAGAGAAACAACCATAACCCGGGCGTCACTTTGTTTCTTATCTTGAGGTTGAATTATGACCTCTTCTGTGCTGGTCCGGGTCTCGACTGATGTCTTTGGGTCGACAACGTGCTCGATGATCGGTTCTAGGTAACCATCTTGGATATTATGTTCGATGTAGCTGACAGTGCCTCTAGTATCAACCTCTGGTCGTGGCTTTGGTACGTGTAGTACATGTGGCTTTTCGTACATCGACCCGAGCACATCATCAGCTTCCAGGGTCATGTCGCCCAACATGTTAAAGGTCGTATCATCTTCATCCTGAGCAGCAGGCTCTTCTGGCACTGCATCGCTCACTTCCAGTTGTACTCCCACACCCAAGCCAGGAACTTCGGGCTTTTCCGAGGTGGCTACCTCTGGAGCTAGTTCTGGGGTGTCGGTACAGTCGATGCATTGCTTCTTCGATTTGTTTAGCTTTGCATTATGCATTGTCTTTTTCTTTTCTTGCTTAGCCAATCGAGCATGAACATCCATACGGCCGGCCCCGCTGATGTATTGGTGTTTTCGCTCAATGGCAATGATATGTTTATGATAGGGCGAGCTGGCCAGCATGCGCCCTAGGTAATTTTGTCCCGACCCAAAATCGACAATGTGAGATAATGGCTCCCCGCGACTCTCGTTGACCGTCTCCGACAAGGACGCGACATAGCGAGAGAATTGCTCCACCTCATGCTTCTTTTTCTTGTTCATGCCCATAGCGATGTGACTAGGGAGAGGTTGGCTGTTCTTGGGTGTGGTGAACTCGCGGCGGAGGCTAAATCGTCGAATGTCGCGAATATATTCGAGGAGGCTTGCTGGCGGGAATACCCCTCCGTTCCAAGTCCTGCTATTCCCGGGGCATGTGTTTGTTTCGGCGAGTTCGCATAGTGGGCCGATGTCCTCTCGTAATAGCAGTTGCAAGATGCTGTGGATATCGTGATGCTCAAAGAATGATCGCCAGCCCTGTGGAAGTAGTGACTCGTACAGATCAGGATCGCGCGTCAAGAAATCGAGGATATGGACGCCGCCGCAAAGGTTCATGAACATGACCGATTCGGTTGCGAAGGAGAGAAGGGCTTGGACATATTCGTCGGGATCCTTCCACTCATCGGAGAGTGGAAGAGGATTGCAGATAGTCATGCTAGGATAGGTATCATGAAAAGGACAAAACAAGTCGTCAATTCGTGAAGTGAGGGACGTTCGATATACTGTGGGCTGTGGGGAATGTTATCGCATTTTTTTTTATCTCCCCGCGCCCGCGCCGCCCAAGGCTGCTTAGTCACATTTGGGGTCGATCCACAGGGGTAGCCCTAAGGAATTATCGTCCACAATTCTCCAGTATAAAGGTGTATAACTTTGGTTAATTCAATCATTTTTGTAGATATAAAAGTATGGAATAAAAGACAATGAAATGGGGCCAGTGCATCTTTCATAACTCATCTATGGTTGCCTTGATATTATCAAACCAAGTCTCATGCAGCTTATAGCTGTTCTTCTATACAGACATGGAGTGGATTATCTGGACTATCACTAGCTTAGCACTGCACTAATACTGAATCAATAAAAGTTCATAGCTATCTAAGAACCAGCCTAAATGTGCCGAAAAAGTAACAATATACGGGTTGTAGCTATCTCTAACGTCTAAAACCATACTGAAATAGATGAAATTAAAGCCTATAACGACAAAAAGAAGGTGGTGTAGAATGATAGTGGTGGAAGAAAAGAAGCAAAAGAAAGAGATGAGCCCCTTTATGGAGGGATTTTCACCCCTTTAGAAGAAATCCAGGAAGTTATTTGATCCAAAGACTATATTATTAGACAGCCATCATACTTCAACACGGCCATACAATATTGTTTGGCTTGAATATTAGGCCACCATTTATCCAAACAGTCTCTCCCGCCTCATCAGCAGAGAGCACACAAGTCCCAATGCTCCAGCTACAAGCGGAATGATAAAGGCCCTTGCCATCGCAGAGGTGATTGCTTCAATAGCTGCAGTCCGTAAGTCACTGCTGAGCTGCTCAAACAGCGTGCTCTGTGATCCAGCAACAGCACTTCGAATTTCCGATTGACTGAATCCCTGGCCTGCCAAAACATGATTCAAATTGCTGATGGCGTTTGATTGGAATGCTTGACTGGCAATGACAAGACAGATGACTGTGGCTCCAATCTGTGCAACATTCTGTAGGTTGATGGCACTGAGGGCATCGGTTGGTTTGACTTTTAAACTACCCACAGAGTATCCCAGTTGCATGGTGATTCCTGTTCCGACTCCCATCAAGATGCTGAAGCCGTAGATATGGCCCGTTGGTGTCGAAGGAGAAAGATATCCCACAAACAACGCACCAGCTATCGTCATAAAGATACCAGACACCAGACACATAGACATGTAGTACTTTATTTTGGGAAGAGCTGAGCCGGAGGCAAGGTTGAATGCGATGGTGAATAGGAGATAAGGAAGAAGTCGGACTGCGGCCATGAGGGATGAGTCGTTCCGAGTGAACTGGAAGTAAATCGGTATGTAGAATGTGGTGAAGAACATGCAGGTGTTGGCGCAGGTGGTGGTGATGTAGAACAAGATTTGAGTTCGAGATTTGAGCAGATGTCCGGGGAATGATCTATGCTCGGGAGTGGTAAAGATGCAAAAGGTCTGCTGTAATGCGTAAAGAGCCAGCATAACTCCCCATACCACAAGCATTGCAATAGTGCGACCATCATTCCACGGCCAGATACCACCGGCAAAGATGAAGCCGATTGCAAAGGTTGCCCACATCGCTGCGCTGAGCACGAATCCAACATAGTCCAAACTAAGAAGTCGATCTTTGAGTGGTCTTCCAGGAGCTGGATGAATGGCTGGAAGGTAGAACAGGTAGACAGGAGCTGTAATCGCACCGATGATAAGATTGATGTAAAATCCCCATCGCCAAGTAGCAGATGAATCCGAAAATCCACCACCAACCACAGGGCCCAGGATCGCTCCCAAGCCCCAGACAAACCCAGTGCCAGCGAGATACGCCCCACGCTCATTTCGAGTCGTCATGGCAGAGAAATGGTTTAATCCTCCTAGATAGATACCAGTTCCTCCTGCACCGGCAATCACGCGTCCGACAATTAGGGCGCCCATATTCGGAGCTCCACCGCAGAGAGCAGATCCGCCCTGGAAACAGATGATCCCAGCAACGTAGAGCCATTTCATGTTGAAAGTGGTGAAAAGAAAGCCATATGGCAGAATAACAGCGACTGATCCAAGAGGGAACCCGGCCCCAATCCAGGCGAGTTGGTCGACTTGGCCAAACCTCTGAATTACCGCCCCTTGAACGTCCGCCGCAATCGTTGTATCCAGTCCATACATCAATGCTGAGAGGTAAAGAGCAGCACAAATCAGAAACCATCGATAGCCCGTGATTTTGCGTACGTCATCCTCATCGTCGTCGTCACTGGCACCCGGATCACTCGAGAGATGCTTTTCGTTGGGTTGACGGAGGTATTCTTCGCTTGCTTGGCTGACATCTTGGTTTTGGGGAGGTAAATATGTCGTGTTCTGTACTGTTTCTCCGACAATGTTCGAGGCAGGAGTAGACGGTATTGTGGCCATGCTGTAAAACTAATAGCGTGCCGAGCTATAAGATGCTAGGTTGGGTGACCGTGTAGTTATATCTCAGCACACACAATGAAGAATGTAGCAGCATTAATACTACATCAAAGAAAGAAAGGAAAAGAAAGGACAATTTCACGGGAATAGGAGTTAAGGAATTGCATGATATTAACGCCGATGAATTTGAGGTGTTGGTATACGTTAATATCAACAAAGCCGATGGTTGTCGGCCGAAGTTATCAGGACCCTCTCGAAAACCCGAAAGGCTTCAATTCGATTGGTACACCCTAGTTGCCGATCAATTTGAAACCCAGGGTCCTTAGTTTATTTTGATTAATCATGCTACATATGTAGGGCCAGGGTGTATCGGATATAGTCGGTCTTAGCTCGGATTATAGATCATTGTAGCATAACCATTTGGTATCCCCGAGGGCTTGTAGCCAGGTAGAATTATTTGCGCCTCAATGCGACCTCATAAAAGTACCTTTTAGTCAAAAATATGAAAATATGTAGAGGTCTTACCTACACCGTGCATTTAAGGGAGTACAAAAGTAGTAGATGTCATTGTATATCTCCCATGGGCATCGCGGTGTCCATCAAGCTAAGTATTTTCAGAGTTTACCCTGGTAAATGTGTTATAGTGAAAATTGGTTTCTAGTTACTATGTACTATGTAAGTATATAACTGAAGCTCCAAACAGAATGAACACATGCCCAGCCTGAACCCCTTGTACACAAACTAAGCCCCGATAGCCTCCTCCACAATGACCCGCGCGATGGAACCAATATTTGATCGCGCATCCATAAGTTGCAACATGCTAATGTTCTTCCCAAAGGATGAATTTAGCCATGTCCTGAACTCTGCAGCCAGCAAGCTGTCGATTCCATGGTCAACTACTGTGTGACTTTCCTTCACCACAGAAGGGTCGATGAACAACATGCCCGCTACTGTGGTCCTGATAGCATCGCTGACGAGCTTCACAGTCTCTGCGACCTCTTTTTCATCCTGGCCATTTCTAATTCTCTTCATTGATGCCTCAAAGTGCCGACGAAGTTGTACAGCAGGTGACGCGTCAGCATCATCAAACCCGAATGTCGCTTTGTCGCTACCCCCTTCATTCCCAAAACGCCAAGCATCGTCCATGGCACGCAGCATCAAAGACACGCGGGGATCGTGGTACCATCGGGGCACAGTGCTTGAAGCAGACCCCTTAGGTTCCGCTCGCTTCATGTTCGCCAAAACGGCTGGGTCGATGCCGGTAAAAATATTGGCCGCGGATAGAGGATCCTCCGAGCGACCAAGCCATTGGTCTTTCGTGTTCAAGTCTTTCACGAATGCGGGCTCCAGAGCACGCAGAACCTGATTACCAGTGACTGTTTGGCCTTTCGTGCGCGCGAACAAATTAACGGTGACCTCATCCTGGGTGAGAGCTCCCAAGTCTTTGATGAACCCGAGTGACACTGTAGTTGCCGGTAGACCAGATTGCCGCCGGTAACGTGCGAAATAATCGAGGAAGTTGTTGGCAGCGAGGTACGTGCTCTGCGTTGGGAACGCATAGACAGTTCCCAGAGAAGAGGTCATCGTGAAAAAGTCCAAAGGCAGGTTGGCTGTCGCTTCGTGTAGGTTCTTTGTACCAAACACTTTGGCCGCCATGCCTTGGTAAAACATGTCCGCGGTCATTTTATCGAACGAGATGTCCTGGTAGGAAACTGCATAATTGAAAACTCCTCGCACGGCGCGCTCAGAGTTAGCATCTTGCATACTACGGAGGACCTGCTCGCGATTGCTGACATCGCACGTCACAATCTGTATATGGACACCCTGGGACGCCATTTCGTTAATCAAGGCTGCAGCTTCAGGGGAGAGATTATCTGCACCCCTTCTTGACCAAACGGATAAGTGCTGAGCTCCTCGACTAACCATCCATCGGATGATACATCGTCCAAGAGGACTCAATCCGCCAACAAGAATGTAGCTAGCCTCTGATAAAAACCGGGCATGAGTGACAGACTGGTGTACGTTTAAAAGAGAACTAGGATTTTGATAGGAGATCACCATTTTGCCGATATGTGTTCCTTTGGACAGCTTCAACAATGCTTGATCAAGCTGAGAGATATCCGACACATGGTATGGACGGATAGGGCCAATGCGGCCGGCGCGGAAATGCTGATTGACTGTGGACATGAGATCTCCGCCAAGTTCAGGATCGCGTTCGATCACCAGGCCTAGATCAAACGAAGTAAAGCTTGCGCTCTTCTGGAAAAGCTCAAGAGCAACTGTCTTTGCGCCCGTGACATCCATCCGGCCGACATCTATCAGATGACCAAGCGGTGCCAATGCTTCAATCGATTCATGGAGCATGTCTCCTTGCGATGTGCTGAGAATAACATCAAATCCTCCATTTTTAGTTGCGCGGATCATGCGAGGTACATCTGTTAGCTTTCGAGAGGAGAAGATGTGGTCGGAGGAAATTCCCATGACATCGGTCAGGAATTGAGCCTTGTCTGCGGTCCCCACCGTGACATAGACATCAGCACCCTTGGACAGGGCCAGTTGAATAGCTGCCAGTCCAAGACCACCCGAGCCCGATTGAATGAGAACCTTTGAGCCCCCCTTCACGCGAGTGATATGCTCGAAAGCATACACCGCTGTCATGTAGACCAAGGGCATCGTTGCAGCATCCAATGAGGCAACGCTAGCTTCCAACTTCTGTGCAAGCACCGCGGGTACACGTGTATAGTTTCCAAAGTGGCCCTTGCCCATACCATAAACCCGGTCACCGATGCTAAAGCCATGTACAGAGGACCCTATATCGGAGATGACACCGACATACTCATTCGACAGATTGTTTTGATCAAATCGACCAGAGCATAGACCCAGATCTTTCCAGTTCAGACCGACGGCCTCTAGCTTGATCTCAATCCAGTCTTGCGGCAAGGCGTTCCAGAGCTCGGTGTATGGCTTGAAATAGAGGGATGTGAGAAGACCAGGGATTTTGAAAGCTGCACGGACGGGACCAAGAGTGGAAAGTGGGATTGCCTTGATATTTTGATCGTCCGCAGCAGTCTCGTCATATCCCTGAAGCTCAGTGTCAGGAACAAGCCGGCTCACCCACATGTTCCCGTCTTGCCAGGCCAAGTCGTGATTCACAACAATTTCGCGATTGTGCTCTGGGTTTTGCTGCAATGGGAGAACAACCTCGACCAAGGACCTGACTAGTCTATCCATCTCGGTATCTCGGACTCGGAAATCTTCTGCATCGATGTCGACTGACAGGAACTGACCGGCAGGATTCTCAGCTGCTAATGTGCGCAGCAGTCCAGAGACAAAGGATCCGTCAGGGTTGCGACCCTTAACCAAACCGCACGATGTGAGCCATATCATGCTGTTAGTATTCGCTGCCAGGTGTTGAAACAATCCAATTCGATGCTGATTTGCTGCGAATAAGAGGTTGTCGCCGTCTAAGAACGCAACCACGTGGGAGTTGGGCGACACGACGGTCTGTGCATCATCAATCAAAGAGATTTTGATGGCAAGTCCAAGCTCCCCAAGTACCTGGGCAAGTTGATTCAATAATTCTGGGGGTCCTTGATCTCCGTGAAGGAAGTGCACGAGCCTGTTAGAGTCAATTTGATGTTGTTCTATGGAACGAAGAGCATGAACGGTGATGATAGAATGATTGACTGGCTCAGTCACTTCACCGACAAGTTCAAAATCCACATTTTGAAGGCTCTCGGGGACGATTTCACTTCCTGTGCCGTTCACTTGAATCAAGCGCCCGGTGGGAGTGACAAGCCTCTTCAAGTGTTGCATTGCTTGGGGAGTTTGCAGGCCATTCGAGCAAACGATAATGTCATATAAACCTGACTGGAAGCCTTGCTCTGACGGATCTTTGTTGATATCCAAAACAGAATATTTCACATCACGGAACTCAGTTGTGCTTTCTCGAACCGATTCGAGCCGTTCTTCCGTGATGTCGGTAGCAACATACTCCCGATAGCGCTTGATACTATTCGAGCCCATGAGTACTTTTAAGATCGCTTGAGTTGCGCCCGCATTACTGCTAACGCCCAATTCCAGAACTCGCAAGTCTGGATTAGCATGTCCAGCCAGGTCAAAAATCCTGCAAAGCTGTGGGAATTCTCCAAAGTTGTCTTGGTAAGATGTCAGAGCCTCGTTGAACTGATCCTTGGATAGGGTACGAATATCGGGTCTCCATACGAGGCGCGCAAAAGGGCTAACATATGCCTTGCCGACGCGGTCTCCGGTGGATGGAGATTCTTGTTCGTTGTTAAGACTTGTGAAACGCATGTTGTCTATATCCAACATCACTTTGCCTTCCTCGTCCAACATCTGTAGCTGGGCGTACGCCCCACGGAGGCCGCGCAGCTCGCCCCGGGACACACCAGTTGCCCAATCCCGGCCTTCCAGGTGACCGTAATTAAATTTCATCTGGTTGAAATGAATCGGAAGCTGGACACTGGCCGTTTCTGCTTGGCCGCCGTTGCACGCCATGAGACCCAGGCGAATCACCAGGTCCAAAGAAGCCGGGTGAATGGGATAAGTCGACTCACCACCAGGGAACATACCGGCTGTGGTATTCAATGCCAACTTGGCAGACGCAATGTTTTTGGCTGGATCAGCACGGATGTCCGAGTAGCCTTGGAACGACGGTCCAAATTGGAGGCCCATGTCAGCAAAGCGTTTGTACCAGGTTTGAGCATCCACTAGTCGTCCGTCCATAGTGGTGTCGATTGGCATGGCTTGTTCAAACTTAGCCACCTCCACCTTAATCTGACCCGAGCAGTGCTCGGTCCATTGGTCTGAGTCACGGACTATCGAGGCAATGGAGAAGCTGGCCCAGCCTGGCGATTTGGCGGTAGCACCATCTTCAAGCTCCATGCTCAGCACAATCTCGATGCCGTGATCATCCTCTGGAACTACCAGTGTCTTCTTGATCGAAACGTTGCGCATGATTAGCCCAATTATTGGCAGAGCATCGGGGAATTCGTTGTATTTATGCTCTGCAGCGACCATGGCCATGACAATGTGAGCGGCACCAGGGTGTAAAACGTGAGGGGGCACACGGTGATCATTTAGCCATCCCAGATCCTTCAGGCGAAGCATATTCCGCCATTGGGGCCGAAGCTTTGTTGTTCCTGGCACTTTAGATCCCAGAAGGTCGTGGCGAAGAGTAGGACGTAACCGGTATTCTTTACTCAATCTGCTCTCGTGGTATTTGATAGGTCCATAGGTATACTTGTACCGTGGTAGGTCGATTGCAGTGCAGCCGTACTCCAAATAGTGCTCTCCTTTTGGCCCCTGTCCATCGATCGCATTGACAGCCACCAGGCTGACAGAAACATTGTGCACGAACAAGGTTCCAGTGCATTCTAGGAGTGATCTTTGGGCATCTTGATTTCTTTTCAAAGACGCGATATGCGGAATGACCTTTCCCAGGCTTTTTGTAATCTGTCCCAAGGGGCCTTTAAGGGCAGGATGCGGACCTATCTCGACTAGGGCACCAATATTCAGGTCCGGAAGGCTCAGAAGATTTGATACGGCATCAGTGAAACGTACTGGGGACTCAAGATTAGCCCTCCAGTAAGATGCAGTCACTTCAGTGGTACTCTTGTCTGGAGTAACCGAAGAAGCCCAAGGAATAAAAGGATACTTTGAACTTGTGGTATCAACACCAAGGCTCCTTATATGACTTAGACCATCATTGACATGCTCTTCATATGCCGAGCCAAATGGTAACATGTGGTGGGAGTGGTATGCGAGACCACCCGTGCGGAGCAGTCTATTAAAGATAGACTCCTTGGACAGTCTTGCGCTCAGATCTTCCACGCAATCAGCATCACCGGAGAGTGTAACACTATCAAAGGAGTTGATTGCAGCAACCGTGACTCGGTCTTCTACATCAGCCTCCCTGATATACTCCATTGCTTTCTCAGGGCCGAAGCCGACTGCCAGCATCGCGCCCCTCTTATTGTTGAAGGAAACCATATAGCCACGGTAATAAGCAGCTACAATAGCTTCGGCAGCAGTAATTCGTCCCGACGCATACGCTGCTGCAATTTCACCGGAAGAATGGCCCGCTACACCCGCGGGCCGAACGGACCATGAAGCAAGGAGGTCAACGAGACCAATTTGGACAGCCGTGCAAACGGCCTGTGATACTGCAGGAGTCTGGATGTCATCCGTCCCGCAATTTCCAGCAATAAAATCGGCGATCTTCCACGGGGCGGGCTCAGGCAACATGGCAAGGATGCTGTCCAGGTACAAGATGACGTTCTGGAAAACAGAGTATTGGAAAAGCCCGGCGCCCATGGCGTGCCATTGTGCACCCTGTCCTGTAAAGATGAACCCAACCGAAACATGCTGGGGCGAGCTAACAATTTCAAGCTCTTTTTCCTGCTTCAGTCCCATCTCTGGCACCTGGTCCTTATCGACAATGCAGTAAGATCGATGCATGAAGCGCGAGCGCCGAGCACTAAGGGTATAGGCAACATCGGCCAGCGAGTGCTGGTGGATGACTTGACCCAATGAGTCGATGTTCGCTACAAGTGAGGTTTGGTTATGCGCCGAGAAAGGAAGTACTACCAGTTTCCGAGTGCCAGCGTCAGCCTTTCGGACCAATTTCAGTGCATCAGTCTTTGGATGATGATGCTTTCTTTGATCTAATGGGTTGCTAGAACCATTTGACAGCAAACTGGCATTCGAATGTCCGTTGGCTCCGTTGGCTCCGTTGACTCCATTGACTCCATTGACTCCGTTAACTCCGTTGACCCCGTTGACTCGGTTGGCTCCGTTGGCTCCGTTGGTGCCGCTTTTGCCATTGATGTCGTTTTGTCCATTCAGTCGCTCGACATGCTGACCAACAATACCGGGCTTGATATAGGATGGAAGGAGGTTGTGGACATCATCAATGATGCAGTGTCCGTTGGTACCACCAAAACCAGCAGACGTGATACTTGCTCGCTTGAGTTTATCTTTGGGCCACGGCTCAACCTGGGTGGACACCCGGGCTTTCGCCTCCTCGAAATCAATGCGCGGGTTTGGAGTCTGAAATCCGAGAGTCGGCGGGATTTCTCCCTGTTCAAGAGCTGCGACCACTTTCAATATTCCTGGAAGGGCACAAGCTCCCTCCAAGTGACCGAGGTTTGTCTTAACAGAACCCACCACCAGATGATCATTTCGTTCAGAGGACCGTGAAGGACCGAAAACATTTCCAGCCGCTTTGATCTCGGTTGGGTCACCAACTCGGGTGCCAGTTCCGTGGCACTCGAGGAGTGTAGTTTGAGAAGGATCAAGGTCTCCTGCATTCTTATATCTGGAAAGGTTGCTTTGTTAATAACCTTGATTGTCAAAAGAAACACAATATACATCACTTACGCTTCTCGAATGACGATCTCTTGGGCAGGACCACTGGGATTGGTAATTCCGTTGGTACGGCCGTTTGCATTGATCGCAGAGCCCATAATCAAGGCTCGAATTGGTGATCCATCTTCAATGGCCAGTGAAGTTTTCTTCAGGTAAAGAGCAGCGAATCCCTCACCACGTGCATAGCCATCAGCCGATGCGTCGAAAGTATGACTTCGAGAAGTGGCAGAAAGAGCACCGAGTTTCCCCATTGCTATGTGGCAATTAGGGTCCATGATCCAGTTGGACCCCGCCACAATGGCGGATTCACAATCTCCATTGCGGATTGAATTCATAGCTAGATGAAGGGCGTACATAGCAGAAGTGCACGCGCTGTTGACTAACAGGCTAGGCCCTTTGAGGTTGAAAACGTAGTGAATGCGATTGGCCAGCATATTGGGGAATGAACCAGTGGCCGAATACTTTCCACTGTAGTCCCAATCTCTAGTTTGGGACAGATAGTTGTCGAAAGAGATGTCACCCACAAACACGCCAACGCGAGAGCCAGATACACCTTCCCAAGTTTCGCCAGCATTCTCGAAGGCCTCATATGTAACCTCAAGAAGTTTCCGTTGGGACGCATCCATTGTCTCTACTTCGTTGTCCGTGATTCCGAAGAAAGCTGCATCGAATAGTCGTGGGTCCTCGTCCAACAGGAACCCACTTCTGGCCACCGCAGTACCAGGACGATCTGGGTTGGGGTGAGAGAACCCTTTGGCTGAGAACCGTGGCTCATCGAACTCCCTGTGTACATCTTTCTGCTCCTTCAGGAACTCCCAGAGTGCGGGAAGGTCTCTAACACCACCAGGCATATGGCAACCTAGTTCTGTCAATCCGAGACCTATCTGTATTGCTCGCTATGAAAACTCACCGATGCCAACAAGGGCAATGGGATCGGGTCCGGGGGGGCAATGGTGCAGTCATGTTGCCAATTTGTCAAAGGTGCTTCAGTAGTTGAAACTAATAGTATGGATCTAGCTAGTAATTAAAGGAATATAGAACCTCACGATGACAGTGAATAATTGCATCTGAAAGTTGTCGTCTTCTCTGGCTTTTAAAAACGTGGCTCTGCGGCCGAAAGAAGACAGCACGGCTTTTAGAAAGATGGCTCTCCGGCCGAAGAAAGCCATAATATCCATGTCAGTTGTGCCATTTGAATCAGGCCCACCAGAATCCGCAAGGTTGTCAACCCGTAGTCTTTGTTCAGCAGAGCCGCAGAGGAACTGCCGGGTCCTCATTCAGTATGCACATGTCGATTCTTACAAGTTCCCCGTCAAGTTTCGGCTGTTCCCGGCTGTAATCCATGTCACTCATATCTCCGTGCGTTAACCCGCTGGGGATTAATGGCGGGGGATGTAAGATCTGGCTCTAGATGGGTCCATACTTGAAAAGTCTCGACAACCTGCTTCGACGCTATACCTGCATAGCTTACCCTCTAACCATGGATGAGCTTTCCCCATTGCCACGTTGCATTGAAACAATATACGACGAATCGGAGTAATCTGTCAAAGCTCAAGGTTGACTACGTAGATTTACGGGGTATATCATGAAAACCACGTGACCGTGGCCACAGAAAGCTTAGAAGTTGGAAGTATCCATCATGATCCATGGAGATACAAAAGTGCAGAATACGTTCGTCGATGCCCGCACAGATTGAAATCGTAGATTTTTCCCATTTTTAATCTAAAGCTATACATATCATTTAGTTAATAATAACATAAATTGTCGCAACGCCGTCATCAACTAGCTGCAGAACTAACTATGAGACAGACAATGAGGGGGTTAGTGCCAAGCCAAGTCATCTTGGGGGCGGAATACCCGTCGACCCGTCGACCCGTGGACGCCTAACTATAGATAATCTCTCCCAGTACCTTCAGGGCCTGCTCCGACTTGCGTCGGCCGATTCTCTTCCTTACAACCATTCGCATCTTCACCATGCAGGGCCGAAAACGTCGTGTCAGAACGTGTCATTCTTGCTATATACGTAAACAAAAAGCGCGTGCGATCGGACTCGATTGTGATGTAACGCTAATTTGGAAGTTGTAGTGCGACCGCCAATATCCATGCAACCACTGTACCCGCCGTCGCCGACCTGAAGAGTGTGTCTACGGTTCTCCACCGGTGAATGGACCCTCCTGTCCGTCACTCCCTGCAGATCAGCCGGAGACCCAACCACCTCGACCAGTAGAGAGTGCACGGCCCATGCGGGAAACAGCCGAGGATGACTCTGAAGCTCACTGGTCTAGAGAGCATTCTGCCCTGGCTCGATCATTTGGTTATTTCGAGGATAGCAACTCCAACACAATGGCTTTGCTCCGACAGGTGGGTCTCTTGGTATTTCTTTGCTTATGGTATTATTTCGGCTTATTCAACCTCACAGCTGGAATTGCCTGATCAAACTGATACACAGCTAAACAATGCCTCACCCTCTACTTGGGACACTATTCAATGTGAGCTTGATCTCATGCCTGACCGCCAAATTGTCGACTTTCTTGTCCAATATTTCGTCTATGAATTGAATTGGTAAGCCTATCTATCAGCTTTTCTTGGCAATATTGCTTAGCTCTCTTGTTTTAACTTTTATCATTGGCTCAGGATGAAGCAAGTCATCCATGCCCCCAGCTTCTTGGCGAGTTATCAGCTGTGGTGGGCAAAGAATAAAATAACAGAGGTTGCCGACGTCGAGTTTGCAGCTCTAATTACTCGCATTTGTTCTTATGCGACACAATTTCTACCTTCCCCATCTCACACCGTTGATCAAATTCGTGGTCGGTCACTAGCCGATATTCGTGATACGTGCAGTAATATTGGAAACAACCTTGCTACAGCATGTGAAATTCTTGACTGGAAAGGCACTTTAGTACGTGTTCAGCACATCATTTTTGCTGCATTGAAAGTCTCATGTGAAGGGAGGACTAGCCAATTTTGGGAGGGCATAGGCTCTGCATGTCGAGCAGCTCAAAAGGCTGGCATCCACACGGATACTACCAGTTTGATGGGATCTCAGCTTCCCAAAGATAGTGCCCAGGAGTTAAATAGAGATATTCAGCGGAGGACATTCTGCAGCCTCTATGTTTTGGACAGGTACGATTGGTATCTTCCTGATCCTAATATCTTACTGACGAATCTGGATGACAGTCATTTGTCCAGACAACTAGATCGGATCCCCTTCCTACCAGATCACTTGGTCGAGGAAACACTACCTCGGCTACGTTTGATCCCAGACATTAGCAATATACCGACAGAAACGGCTACCACCGCGCCCGACATCTTCACCGAACGTCTCATGCAAGTTCGGCTTGGGTTGTTTTGGCGGGGCCTTGGCTTACAGCGTACCTCCGAGTTTGACCCGACCGAAAGTGAGCGGAGATATGAGAAGCTCAACTCCGAGTATCTCGCCAACTTACACCCGGCCTTCGCTATAGCCCACCCAGACACGACTTTGGATAAGGCTATTCCAAAGCTACCTATGCAAAGACAACTTCTACATATCGCGATCTTCGACTCAATTTGTTGGAACTTTCGGCCTCTCCTGCTGCTCAAGCCAAACCAAGTCGCAAGCTTAGCCCCTTACAAAAGGGTTCTTCTCCGGTCGCAGAAACAGAGGCTTGGTATGGCTGCACTGAAAGTGCTCGAAGCTGTTGCAACCCTTCATGCAATGTTTGGGGGGTCGTATACGCGCTTTTCTGCGATTATCTTCAACTCTTTTGAGCCTGCCATTCTCCTGCTTAATCTTTGTTCCAATGCAGATTTCCCATTTGATCAAGACGATCATAGTACAGATCTTATGGGAATCAAAGTCAGAATGACATACCGAATAGCAATGCAGGCGGTAGAGCAGGCTATTCGTCGTCTTCAAATGTTAGCTGACCTAAGTGACATGGCTGCGTCTGGAGCCCGCGTGGCTACTCTGCTTTTTGCTAGATGTGTGCAACCCAAGCAATCACCTAGTCCACTCGCGCTCACATCGTCTGGCTCTGGCTCTTTGGGGTCAACCCAGGTCCCGACTCCGATCGAAAGGTATGGCGAACAGGAAAAATGGCCGTCGTTGGAAGCAGTGGATCATTATTTAATGCCTGATAACTTTTCTTCAATGGCGCAAGAACACTCTTTTCCGAGTCCCCAGCTTTCCTCGTTGGAATTCCCCACTCTCTGGGGGAAGCATTCTTCTAGTGTTGTCTTTAACGAGCCATAAATATTTGCTGTTGGTTATATATTCTGGTCGTTAAATAGGTTGGAAAATTTGATACATAGCAACCATAAATACGAAAGAAAAGCCCAACTCTACGGCAGCAAAAAGCGACTTCCAGCCGTACCCCATCTATTTCTCTATGTTATAAAGAGGATTATTAGTACTACCCGCTATAAATAGGGAGTACCAAATCAGGTGGGCCCTGCACGGGAGCGAGGTCGCGGATGAAGCAGAGCGGAGGAAGGATACCTATCCTTCTTACATGCATATACATATGTACGTATGTATCCGTATCCATTGGGCTTTATTATCAACTGCCATAAAGTATCTCGCATATCTTGATCAAACCTATTATTTAGTATATTAAGCCCAATCTTTCGTCATTTCAGCGATATTATATCCTCGGAGCTTATGACTATATGACTGTGGCTCCCGGTCAACCGAGAATTCCTCTACGTTAGTCCATGTTTATATATCTTTTTAGACTAAGACATCTATTTCAAAGCACAGCATCGTCAGAATATTCGAGGATACCCCGAGGTGCGAACCTGGGGGCCCGAAAGTCTTGTGTTTATGTACTTATGGAGGATATATGCGGCTAAGGCCACCCAACACAATGTCGAAATAGAAACCATCTAGCAACCAGTTCCTCACATTTGCTAATGATCTACCCTCGAGAATTATAGAGAAAGCGCCACATCCGGTGTCTCCGCTAATCCCGATGGTGAGATGCAAGGATGCAAGGTTGTCAATGCACCCACCATATTCTCGTATCCTACTAGCGTCTATATGTGTCATTATAGCCGAGGCCATGTCATTGTCCGGGGGCAACCATCGTGTATCTTACCCGACACTACGCCCCATCCCATCGGCCGAGATATATCGGATGAAAGACCATGGGCGTGATCCTGTCACATAATCATGGACCAACCACAGCGTTGGCCCCTCCAAAGATGTTTCTCTGGCCCCCATATTTAGCGTGTCCTAGTTGTAAGCCAGTCCGACGAGCTGCATCAACATGACACTAGCAATCACTATCCAGTTATTAGTTGACAGGGTATTTATTGTACATTCGAATTCCACAAGCCTCTTGAATTCGCTCGATATCTTACACAATCTCAACTTAAGGCGAACCCCAAAACACAAAATTAAACCACATTTGAGAATGTCGAGGCTTGAGATAGCCCTTTCTTCCACACTTGATCATCTCCTCAAACACATCTTTCTCGGAACTGTATTTCTCACATCTCTTTACGCACTCTACCGATGGCTCCTCCCCAAGCCGCTTCCGGGTATTCCCTTCAACCAGAAGTCTGCCCAGTCAATTTGGGGTGATGTCGTGGAACTCCGAGACGATCCTTCGGGGTTGGCGAAATGGTGCAGCAAGCAGCTTGAGAATCACGGCTCGCCAATTTGTCAGGCGTTGATGGGCCCCCTGTCGAAGCCGGTGGTACTGGTTGCAGACGTTGGAAATGCCCGAGAAATGCTGATGGGACGAAGTGATTTTGACCGATCCGCATATATCATCGATCGATTCCCGCTCTTTGGGGAATTTCATCTGAACATGAAAACGGGAGATAACTGGAGGCAGTCTCGGAACTGGTTGAAGGATCTCCTTGCTCCACAGTACCTTCACAATGTTGCTGGTCCTGCTATTCACTCCTCCGTTCTTAAACTCATCAAGTTATGGGAACATAAATCCTGCGTGGGCGACAGTAGAGCTTTCAGTATGGTGTCGGATCTGAAAACTCTTGCTTTGGATGTTATTGTAGCCTTTCACTTCGGTTCCGACTTTCAAGACTCGGCTCTGGATAGACAGGTTGATCACGTTGGGAAGCTTGATGGGTCAAAATTGCCCTGTGGGGAGCACAACGAGGTCGAATTTTCTAAAGCCCCATTGCACGAGTTTCAGCAGGCTCTCACAGACGTGGGTGATAAGATGGCGGCTATTTACACTACAAAATGGCCACCGCTGATCGTGGCTTGGTGGGTGCGCTACATTTCTCCTTACTATAGACCTTTCTTCCAGGCAAAGGATCGATTTATTCGCAAGCACATCAACCTTGCCGTGCGGCGCTACCGAAACGATGAAGAGCCTTCAACGGGGATCGATTACATGGTGTACCGAGAAGAAAAGGCAGCCCGAAAGGCCTATCGCCAGCCGATGTTTGATAAGCAGATAATGATTGACGAGGTATGAAAGTCTCCTCAGATTCTTGCTTTTCCTCATTTCATTCTATCTCCACTTTATTTTCCTGTCATTTTGTTTAATTCTTATACTAACAATCAAAGGCGTACGGTAACCTCATCGCAGGGCAACATACCACGAGTGCGGCTCTCGTATGGATCTTGAAGTTGTTAGCCGATTATCCCAGCGTCCAGGAGAAGCTCCGCGAGGAGCTGCAGGGAATCTTTGTTGGTGCGATGCAAGAGAATCGACTGCCTACAGCAGCTGAAATCATAACGTCGAAGCTTCCGTACTTGGATGCCGTGCTGGAGGAAACTCTTAGACTACGCGCCGCGATGCTAGTCCCACGGGACGCAACAAAAGATACAGAGTTGCTTGGTCGTCGAATTCCGAAGGGTACGGTTGTTCTACTTGTTTGCCAAGGACCGGACTACAAGCCGTCACCTCCATCGAAATACTGGAGTGATGTCAAAGCGTCAAGAGTGTATCCTGGCAAAGGAAATCTAGACCTGGAGGTATTTGACCCAGAGCGATGGCTTGTGCGAAATGAGAAGGGAGATCTTGAGTTTGACGGGTCAAGTTATCCACAGTTGGCGTTCGGGTTGGGGATTCGATCTTGTTGGGGACGTAGACTTGCCATGGTAGAGATGAGAATTATGACTACATTGATGACACTCAAATTTGAGTTGAAGGATGTACCAGAAGGGTTGCGTGGGCATGAGGCGAGTTATGATATTTCTTATCGGGCGAAGAAAGGGTTCCTTCGTCTAAAGAGTCTTGGGGAAGTCCCTTAACCTAGATATCATACTTGTGCGGCCCTTACCATTAGCGAGTATTGTGGGTATCGGCGCATAGCCTACTTATGGAGGATGATAGTACATATGGATTTGATAGGAGAAGTTACAAACTGAGAACATACAACACCGAGATCCTGGATAGAGGAACAAATGCGGCGCACACATCAAGAATAGTAGGTCTTCAGGATTATGCATAAGGCTCGCCGCATCAGTGGCAATGCAATAAATATTAGGTATTCCACTATATTTATGAGACTTTGGAGAAGCATTGCGCAGCGTTGCTCTTTGCAATTATTGCGATCACCTCTGTTGCTAACACCTACCTTTTCCTTACCTCATACAAAATGAGTTGACTTATGCCGCCTGCATCCTGGACAAGGTGGTCATGGGATAGGAATACTTGATTGTAGTTCTAAATATGGTATGGAAAGAGGATCAGTAAATTATTCTTTCGTTTCCTTTGTACAACATCATACGAATTCATTATCCATTATTTATGCCAAATCGCGTATGTTCTTCTACAGTCACATCCAAAATAGGGCTTAAAAAGGGAAGCAGGTTACCGGTTTGCTTCATCATTGACCAGCCTCATGTCTATCCTGGGCTTTGTGTTGGATGATATCGGTGGACCGCAGAGGTGCCAATTCAACATCATCGGCGCCTTTGTTCGTTATATCTTTATCCTTATCGGTGTGATCAGACTTGGGCATGCGAGCTTGCGAGTAAGATTCGGTGCCAACTATCATAGCCGTCAGATATTTCTATCTGAATATCAGACAGGTTGTACGACTCACATAAAACCAGATATGCATATTTGCTAGCCACGGGGAACCATATGGCCAACGCAACAATTTGGCCAAAACCCCAACCCGAAAAGTCGATCACTCTGAGGTGCCCAAACTCGGCAAAACACATACATTCCAGAAATACAGCTGCGAGAAAGAGCGCTTCGACGCAGAATGTGAGGAGACTGGGTAGCCTCTTGACCCATTCTCCCCAAGTCGAATCAAGCAGTCGTCGAACTTTGGACGGGAAATTGCGGAGCCCGAGACGAGCGCAAGTCCATTGATAAACGCCCTCAACATCCACCATCCTAACAACATATGGCCAAAACCAGAATATGACATCCAATCCAAATACGGTCAAACAGTACGGATTAAGCACCTCCCAGAATAAGAGGAGGGGGACCCTTAGGGATGATTCCACGGCCGGATCCACACAGTAAATCAACGGCGGCGCATACCCACCACAACTTTCCGGCCATCCATTATAGTCAAATGGACTAATTTGACCAACCGATGGAGTCTCGTGCGTCCAGTACAGCGCAAACTCAGATACAATGATGGTGGTAACAGACAAAAGAAAGATCCAGGGTTCTGTCAGATGCATTTTCTGGAGACTCCACATCCCCATGACAATCGGCAATACACCAGCACTGGAAACAACCCCTGCAATACCGTTATTTGCCCAGAGGGAGGGCATGGTGTTTGATTCGAAAATAGTAGTTGACTTCTTCGCAAGCAGAATCGCGGATTGTGAAGCGAGCATGAAGAAGCATTGGGCTTCTTGGAATTCGACGAGGATTACCTTTGTGATGCGGTCGTGCTGGTTGAAGAAATGTTGTGTTTTGGTGATGACGTTCCCTTTGGTTTTGTTTGTGGAAGATGCCCGGTCGTGAGTTTTCTTTCTTCTGGTGCAGAAGGAGGTTAGGATTGGGAAGACGCGAAATGAGCGAAGGAGGATCCAGAAATAGAAGATTATTCCTAGTTGCAGCAAGTAGGAGACGAAGACCTGTTGATGTAAATTTAACACAGATATTTTGTGCGCACAGAGTCGGAATAACGCACACCAGGTCCTCCAATGTCCGCATTGACTCCATCACTGACCCCGGTGCAGGTGGCATTGTTCCAAAAGTATTGGCTGCCCTGCGTGGTATTTATAACGAATGGAAGGGATATCGTACCATGCCAATCCCCACACCCACCTAGATCAGGGTATGGGTTCTTGCAATAATCGTTCAGGCACGTTTCCACAACATTGGTAAAGTTGGAGCTTAATGTATCCCCGACTGTATTGTAGCAGTTGCCGAGATTATCAAAAGATTCGAAGACATATTTCGGATCAACACACAGCGAAAGAGTGTGGTTGGTGGCCATCGCATAGCATTGAAAGAAAGACAAGAAATATATTTTCAGCGTCAGAAGGGGAGACAAGCATTTTAAAACTCAAAAGGCTATATGGCCTAAATTTCTTTGTACGGCAAGTCTTTTCGCTCTTTTACAGGGCTGATCACTGTCCATGAGCTAAGACCCTGTGCCGTGTTGCTCGCGCGCTAGCGTATTGAAAGATTTCGTCGCTGTTGGCGGTGATTGGATATTGGCGAGATCTGACCCCAAATGACCTCCGAAAGCTTGTCCTGGTAGTCCAGTCATTGGGATGACAGTGGAGCAGCTGAATCGACTCTTCATGCAGTCATACTGTGCGTTCACATGGGAAATCAAATCATTCTCCATGGAGGGGTATGTTCGGAGAAGAACTAGATATATCTAATGCATCTTGTATCGAAATGAAAAGAATAAAACATCGAAATTACTACTCCGTAGTAGGTACGGAGTAACTGAATGAAATAAAAACAAAATTAAGCTTTGTGCCGCGAGCACGCATCTCCATAGAAAGAAATCTTGCCTAATATAGAGTTATAATCATGAATACTTACTAGGTAAATGGTGTAAAGTATTGTATTTATCATGGTATGATAAATACATATATATCTCTAACTAAAATGACAAAGATCTGCTCTTTTTCTGATCGATACGGATATAGCGGACTAACAATAATATATACCTTTGTATAAAACAATTTCTATAGTATTCGATATAACCGGTAGTTTTTAAGACTATTGGAGCTTTAAGCACTAATCAATTTTCTAGCTGGTTCCTCCTAACTCATACCTATCTTACCGGTCCACATTCCATGTATGGCATCCTCATATGAATGCCGCTGGGAATTGAGCTGTTGACGAAAGCCCCATCCCAATCAAAGCCTTCAGGTGTCCAATTGCCAACGATGGTGGAAGTCAAACATTATAAGAGGCAAAATAGGCCCGGAGCGAAGATCTGTGTCAGGGTGGACAATGTGAGTACTTCTGGACCTGGGGCCTTGTAAATGGAACAAAAGCTTGATTATTTTGAAAGTGCTCTACGACTGGCCTTATTATATCATGGTAGCAGTGATATTGAATGTTTACTCCACATATTGATGCACTTCAGAGCAAAACCCTTGAATTGACGGATCGTTCTTGAGTATACACATGTGGCCTGCTCCTTTGTTTACCTTGGTTACAAACGGTGCTGTCCACGGTGCTCCCAACCGGCAGTAACTGAACTTCTGAAGCTGTATCATTTACAGCCAAAGAAGCAAACCAGGGCGCTAAATGACTCGGGTAGTAATTGACAGACGCAAGCCAAAGAGTTCCGAGTGGCCCCGATTCTTTACCTTCCTATGGCTGGTTTGAGGGGCTGGATTTTTGTTAGATAATTTCTTGCACTGCGCAGATTATTTTGGGCCTTGGGCACTTAGCTTTTGTATAGGTCCAACATTTCCCTCTGGCGAAGGCTATTACAGTGTTGTTGTAAGGCAGTGAGTGGCCTAGTGGCGGCTTGCCGGAAATTACGGGTAGAATGGCGTCTATATTTGTTTCAAAACTACAAATACGCCCAAACTCACCTCTGTAGCTTGTCATTGGTAAAGACGGTTCATAGCCACATGATTTGCGGCACAGCGCGAAGATCCCTACTAAAACATGTTTTAGCCCCCATTTTCTCTCATTTGAGCTAAACCACCCCGGGGTAGGTTAATTAAAGAGGAGGAAAAACCCTAGGGGATTTCTCTCCCACTTGAGATCCAAGACTCCTGCTAGGGCCATGGCGCCAAGGCGAGATTCAATCTCGTCAGGGTCTCTCTCTCTCGGATCGCGACATTCCTACACCGCAGTCAACCCAATTCAAGATGAAATATCCGACACTGACAAAAGTGAGACTGAGACCCCACAAAACCCAGATGAAAGTGACCAAGAGACACGAAAACCAACTCTTTCAACTCCGTCGGCAAAACTACATCGCTCAGGATATATCCTGCTCGTTGTGTTTTTATACATCGGCTTGGCAATTTTCGCATGGGTAGTGACCTGCTATCTATCATTCCGTCCCATCACCACCAAGCATTACGATCTGCGGGCCCTTGATAACAGCAACTGGGCAGAGCCTGACCGGAACTATGAAAATCCTCTCTTCGGTCGCAATGAACGATGGTACCGCGCCGCTCGAATTATCCAGTCCATTGTCAGTGTTCTTACTATTCCCCTGACGTCCGCGGTCTGCTCCAGCGCAGCGGTTATTTTCATTCAACAAAGAGTGAACAAGGGTATCACCGTCCGGCAAGTGATGACACTGGCAGATAAAGGCTGGGCCGATCTCGTAACCTACGCTAAAATCTTTCCATTCCTCGCCTCGGATGGATGGAAACGGTTTGGAAGTTCATTCCTTCTACTGGCTATACTTCTGAATCTCCTTGGTTCGGTTATATCGCCGCTACAGCAACTGTTCCTCTCGACCCGCGCTATCAAGATACCAACTTACCCTTCTTGGATCAATGGTCAACTGGATATCCCAGATCAATTTAAAGCTGACACTGGTGATGATTCGAATCTTGTTGTGGCTATGACACGTAGCGCTTTAACCTCGACGACTATTTCAGAGGTCCAGTCCCAGCTATGGCAAGGCGACAATGTCACTTGCGTGTTGAAATATGGGGCTAAAAAATTACCTCAGTCCTGCGGTTACGGCGGTAGTACTTTGGCAGATATGTCCCAACTAGCGGAGCCATTTCTGGCGGAGCTTCCGAGTGGCTATAACACTGGACTTTATCAGCAATTTATTCCTCGGTTTAATTCAAGTGCCCAGTATGATAAGATTGCTCAAACTGAATTCCCAACCGGATGTGACAAGATTGATGGTGCCTTCTATGTCGACTATACGAACGTCACTACCGACCCCAACGGTATCGTGTATACCTGGGGAATCCAGGCGTGTATGCCTCAGGACCTGACCACGTCGCCATGGAAATCGACCCGGAACCGACAAGATTTCACCGAGGAGCTTTATCTGAATGTGACATTGATTCATTATAACGTCAACAAATTGAACCAGGATCAGCAAAACAGCACGTTCTATAAAGTGACGCTGGATACAACTGCCGGTTATTTTGAGCTACCGAACTATATGAATGGCGAGGTTGCTGGGCCCTTGCTGGAAAACGATCCCAATAGTCTTTGCGGTGAACATTGTGAGCCAGAGACGATTAACGGCGAGTAAGTTTCTTAATTTTTACTTTACCTCCTTCTTATTTTCATTTACGCTACTGACACATCGAGCACAGCGTGGAACACAAAATCGGAGATAAGCGCCGTGATCTCAACACTGCAAAGGATGGAACTATGCCGCTTGAAGTGGTCGCCAACAAAGGTCCTCTACTGACAATAGCTATGGCGCTATTCGGTGACACGTCCTTCATTCAAAGTCGCCAAGCACATCCCCAAGCTTATGCTTCCATCATTGATTCCAATGTACCCGTGGAGCAAGTTCCTACCTATGCAGGGTCTTGTGTGGACCTAGCTCCCCTAGGTATTCTCCTCGCCGGAGCCAGCGGCGAAGACAACAGTACCAATAGCCTCAATTATTGCATTACCAATACCGACGGAGGTGTGAACGGCACCGGTGTTAACACTGAAATCGCCCAGTGGCTCTCCAATTTCAACTACGACCAAGAACGTGTTAAGAATGCCTTTGATGCTGCGGCGTTTTTGGCAACCAAGGTCTGGATGCAGAATAGCGTCAGCCCAACAGAGAAGTCATTGCAAGTTAATTTTGACCTTGGTGCCGATACACAAATTCCAGTCATATCCAGAGGTGGCATAATTTTTGTTTCAATTCTTCTTGGATGGTATATTTTGATGCTCATTCCGCTTGCCGTCTATGCTGCCTGGACACCTCGTTGGACTGCACAGTTGGACTCGTTTGCCATGATGAGGATCGGAGCCGCCATTCCCGAGAAGCTGCCTTTGACTGTTGGTCAGAATAAGAATACAATCAAATCCCTGGATGAGATTCCCGGGTGGGTTGGTGATATATCAGAGGAGAAGGAGCCGCTCGGGAGATTGGGACTTGGTGTTGGGAGGTCTCTAGCTTCACGGGCGAATCGGCGGTTTGAATGTGAGGAGGAAGATGACGAGGAAATCACGGCCGAAGAGAAGAATGCGTCCCAGAGGAGGTTGGAAAGGGAGATTAAGAGGAGTACGAGAGTTGATCACGCTTAGACACGCGTATATATCATGTCAAGCCCAAATAAAGTTTCACTGTAGTTGGTCATAACACAGATGTCGTTTCCTTGTCTCTTTCCAGCGCAGGAACGACCGCTTTAGGACATATAACGCTTCACATTTTCTCGCTCTCATTGACCTCTATGACCAATACATACAACAATCTGGATTCCATCCGGGTATCGGTTGCGCCTGCACTCTAGATTCAATCTAGTTCCCGCATTCACCACCTAGTGTAATATAGACCAAAGAAAACACATAGTTACACTACTAAGCCAAACACAAGCCGACTCATAAACCCATCGGCACCAGATACCTGTTACTATGCTTGGTGACATAGACATCGATATAAATGTACAGGACGTCGACGAGAACACTGCATTGCACCGTGTTTCTACAGGGTTAAATGGGCATATCAGGTCTACAAAACTACTATAATGGATAGTGACCAAGGGATCTACAATAACACCATGAATAGGGAGGACTTGATGCGAGTGTAGACAACAATCTTAAAGCTACACATCTAAATCTTGGAATATATTGAGTAACTATCTAGGTAGAGGGGTGTATTCCGTGGGTTCCGCCAGTGACTATGGAGCCCAAATGCTCAGTCATGACTTTATCAAGGACTCGCACGAGAACTGGTATTCAATCTTGATGGGCATCGAGTATATGGTACAACTTACAGCAACTGAGTAATGCTGATGTCCCTCCATAAGTGTGCACGCACCATGTGTTTGGGGACCCTCCGCCTGCACGTCTCATATGGGCTACGGAGAGATGGCGGTCGAGAGGATGAAGGAGAAAGGAAGAAGAGAAGAGGAGGAAGGGTGGGAGGTGGCCTTTTGTACCCCAGGGAACATGCGTACCTTCCTAAAATGGACGGCCGTTTGCTCTTGCCTTTTTGTGATCAAGGTTACTGGTTATATAATAAGGCATAATAGCAGGTGCTCACCTGTGTAGGCACCCCATGGGGAAGGAAGGCTCCCAAGATTATAATCCCTCTTCTGCATATAGGTCTTTGGCATTCCAGAGGGGGAAAAGACATAGAACACCCGTAGAAGAAGATAAACGTGATATTGTAACTAAATATTCGTGTCTGTCTTCAAATATAGAGATAATGATACTAGCATCCTCACCATTAACGTATACAAGTCTTTGAAGTGCTGTATTGCCAAGTGAAGATTGAGTTGATTTCCTGGCAAACCTGTCTTTCCAGGCCAAAACTGCGCAGTTGTCCCCACCAGACCACCCTAAACATTAGTCATCAATACCCGCCTCCGCTCCAGACTCACCCGTGGACCAACCCGGGGCCGAGAGAGAACTATCAACAACACACCCAATACCCTATACCACAACCATGGAGCACGCAGACCCTTTCCTACAAGTCCAAGCGTGAGCTCCACCTTAACCCCAAAGCACAAGTCCTTAACTAACCACCAAGATCCCAGCGACGTCGTCTCAACCCTACAAACCAGCCGACCACTCTTCTCCTCATACCTCCGCATCCGGTCGTTAGCCAAAAGCCCAAACAACCCAGAACTCAAGCAAGCACGCTCGGAGCTTGAAAGCACATTAACAGAGCTAACAGCCGACCTGAACGATCTGGTCGAAAGTGTGCGCGCAATCGAACAAGACCCCTACCGCTATGGGTTGGAGCTAGAGGAGGTGCAGCGACGGCGCAAGCTTGTCGACGATGTCGGTGACGAGGTCGAGAAAATGCACCAGGAACTACAGCAGGCTGTTTCCAATTCTGCTGTTGATACCCTGCCCAATCCTACGGAGTTTGACGCTGCGCTTGAGGAGGAGGAGCGCGGCCGTGGCGGGGATGATTACTATGCTTCCATGGAACAGCAGCGCCAGTCTGAGCTTATGCATGAGCAGGATGAGCAGCTTGATGGTGTTTTTCGCACTGTTGGGAATCTCCGTCAGCAGGCTGATGATATGGGTCGTGAGTTGGAGGATCAGGCTGTCATGATTGATGAGGTTGATACGCTGGCCGACCGGGTTGGGGGGAAGTTGGCGAATGGGATGTCGCGTATCAAGCATATTGTGCGCAAGAATGAGGGTAAGTCTGCCTCCTTTTTTCGTCCCGTTTCCCGTTTACTCTGTCTATGTTGGATCTCTACTGGGATGGATGGTCTTGTGTGGTATGGGAATCTCAAGTTCAAACTAACTTTTCCGACTAGATACATGGTCCTCGTTTTGTATCGCGGCACTCATATTCGTCCTCGTCTTATTATTAATCCTCCTCATTGCACTGTGATAATACAAAAATCAAGGGGTTAGGTAAAAGCAAAAATCATCAAAAAGGGGGGGTCATGGCGTTTTAGTTGCGAGCCTTCTTGCGCGGGCGCGACTCACTTTCTTCATCGGAGTCATCTCCGTCCATCTCCTCCATATCGAGGTCCATATCTTCGAGCTCCTCGCCGATCTGGAAGGATTGAACTGCGGTCAAAGTTAGCGGGGAGGGAAACATCACACTCGATACTCGGGGATCTACATACCGTAGTAGCTAAGCGCATCGGGCCAGAGGTCCTCGGCAATGGCAACAGCAAGGTCATCTCCGTCGGGGAAGATATCGATTTCCTCAAGACTGGCCTCGTCATCCTCCTCGTCCTCGGAGTCAGAGTCACCGGCCTCCTCAATCTCCTCGCCCTTCTGGATCTTGGCCCAGCGAGCCTCGATCTCCTTGGCAGCCTCCTTGGACTGAGCAGCAGAGACGTCACGGCCACGGTATCCAAAGAATCCGAAGAAGCTCATGCCAACGGGGCTGGGGTTCTCATCATCCTCATCATCCTCGGCGTTGGCAATCTCAGCCTCGGCCTCCTCGACCTTCTTAACAAGAGCAGCGAACTCGGGCAACTTCTTACGGTCACCACCCTTCTTCTTCTCAGCCTCAGCAAGGTCACAAGCAGCATCGAGCATGCCCTTGGTCAAATCCATATCCTTCTTCCAGTTGATGCGGACGGGCTCGGAGACGAGACCCTCCCAGGTGCGGCTCTTACCAGCGGCGTTCTTGGAGACCTCCTGGCGCCAGTAGAACTCCTTGACGAGCTTATCGTTGGTGAAGAAGGGGTTCTCCTCACCAGTCTTGAACTCAAAGGTGAAGCGCAAGCTGCGGGGCTCGCCGTTGCCTTGGGCATCAAGCTCGAATCGCTCAACGGTCATGTTCTTGAGGCACTCGCCGAGAACTTGGGCATCGCTGGAGAGAATGTACTCGTCGATCTCGGGGGAGCACTGGCGAACACGCGCATCCAGAACTCAGCCTGGACATCGGGGATGCTGATGATCTCGCTGCGCTTCTGGATCAGGGGGGCCATGAGCTTGACAGAGTGGCGCACTATAGTGTGTATATTAGCAATTGGTTCATCAATAACTCTCTACACGATTCTTAATGCCATTGTCTTGTTCCCGTGGTAGAGTAGACTCTGCAAGCTGTTTTACTTGCCCCACCATAACAAAATAGACAGAGAGAGAGAGAACTAGGAATCAGAAACATACACTGCTCAACCTCAGCACGAGAGAACTGCTCTTCCAAGATAGCAATCTTCTTCATAGCGGCCTCGGGGATGCTAGGCATCTCGACGCGGTCGAGGAGGGACTGATCGTTAGACATAATGTGTATTCGTGAAAATGAGGTCGTAAAGTAAATAAAAGAAAAGAAACACGCGGACTTGAGTGTTCAATTTTATAAAGAGAGAAGAAATGGAGGAGGGAAAGATCAAGAAGAGGGAAGAAAACAATTAAGGGACGGCAGAAGAAAAAAAAAAAAAAAAAAAAGCTATGCGCGCATCAGGAGGAGAGGAGCTAGGACAGCTACATGATGATACTTGCTGGTACTTCTATTTCCATGGTACTACAGCGGAGAACCAAAGTATCTCAATGTACCGCAGTGTCCACCGGGCAACGGACAATGGTGGGGGTTGGAGGGATGGAAAGCCTGAGGTGTCGAGTACTACATCATAGGCTAAAAACATGAAGAGAAAACTCTGACGCTGATCTTGTTTTTGTGGAGCTCAACGTGTCCAATGTCTGTACTTTTTCAATAATAGAACGTTCTGGTGGGCACTAGTTGGGCTTGGAATTGGATATTGTAGAGGGGTAAAGGAGATAAAGGAGGAAACAGGAGGGTAGGGAGAGATTCAATGCTAGGTGGTACGAAATGCACATAGTTCAATGTTTGCAGGTTCATAAATGTTTAGGCTGTGTGACCGTAAGAGATATTCATTCCATATCTTGCTTCGATGTGTTGAATCTAATTTGACAGATGTAGGAAATATGCAAAACCTCACCGTATGTCTATTAGAACTTTCAAATGGAGCCCCAATGCATACATTTTCACCAATCACCAATATGTTTTAGGTAAATAGCCCTTAGTCTATATCTAAGCCAAAAAAAAAGAATAAAAAACTCTTACCCTATCTTCTTGACTCCCTAAACTTGATACCTCATCGCTGAAAATCCTATGAACATGCACCGCCACCTACATAGCCACAATTATCAGATCCAACCTCCTATCTCAACCCCCTCCGATTAGATCAAAAGAAGCGGGGACTGAAGAAAAAGAAGGGGAAAAAAAGCAAGCATATAAGATAAACTAAAAAAAATAAGGAATACTTTATTTCAACGGCAATTCATACTCTTAGGACCTTGAGTAGAGTCTAACCATAGAAGGTACAGACTGCATTATTATATTCAGAGATTTTTCACCTTAGCAAGTATATTATGTATTTATTTTTTTCCAAATCCCCCTCTTTCAGCTCAACTCCTTCTGCTCTCCGGAGTCCGAGTCCGAACCTCCCCTCATATGATTTGTTCGTGCATGACCCAGTTAGATAAGAGGAAGCGGTCTGCACGTTCAGCGTGTAAACCCTCAACGTGGACGCACGGGACCTGCAGGACTGGTCAATTGGGACCAGCTGGCACGAGGCACGTTTTGTGATGGTACGAATTAAAGGAGACGAAAAAGAGTCGGGGGATGAATTCCGGGATTT